TCTCAGCCCGAAGGCGACTCACAGCGGTGTACAACATAGAAAAAAAACAGGGTTCAAAAATCAAGGCACAATCTAAAACAATCCACAGTCCAGCATTAACAACAACATCATCAACAGCATCATCAATTACTACAAAAGCCATTTCACATCGTCTCATCGTCCAAACCACAATCCAGTATCATTTTCCGTTATTCCATTCCTATCGTCCTTACCAATCATTGCACTTCTTGTTCGAATGCCTTCTTAAACAGCCAAGTTTTTAATTTTCTGCGGAAGACCATCAGGGAAGGTGCCAGTCTGATGTCCACGGGAAGGGTGTTCCACAGCCGAGGAGCCACCACCGAGAAGGCCCTATCTCATCCCCGCCAGCATTATTGTTTTAATGATTGCTTATGTACTGTCTAATTATGATTTATGTTTAATTGTGGTTTTATTATTGTGGTTGTTATGGTTTGGCATCGCGTCAGTGTCCAATGTATGGCACTGAAGTTTATGTGTAAACCGCTTTGAGTCCCCCTAGGGGTGAGATAAGCTGTATAGAAATACTGTAAATAAATAAATAAATACAGTACAAAACATAAAAATAAATACTACACCAATCAATATAAAACAAACAAGATAAATCAAAACACAAATAAACAACAATGTATATAAATAAAAATGTAATGTTCATTTGTGGGATTAACAGAACTCAAAAACCACTGGACAAATTGACACCAAATTTGGACCCAATACACCCAACAACCTAATGTACGTCCTTCACTCAAAAAAACTGATTTTGTCATTTGGGAATTGTAGTTGCTGGGATTTATAGTTCACCTACAATCAAAGAACATCCTGAACCCCACCAACGATGGAATTGAACCAAACTTGGCACACGGTTCTCCCATGACCAACAGAAAATACTGGAAGGGTTTGGTGGGCAGTGTCCTTTGGTTCTGGAGTTGTAGTTCACCTACATTCAGAGATCACTGTGGACTCAAAAAATGATGGATCTGGACAAAACTCTACAAGAATACTCAGTATGTCCAAATGTGAACACTGGTGGCGTTTTGGGAAAATAGAATCTTTGGGAGTTGTAGTTGCTGGGATTTATAGTTCACCTACAACCAAAGAGCATTTTGAACCCCATGCACGACAGTATTGGGGCAAACTTCCCACACAGAACCCCCATGACCAACAGAAAATACTTAAGGCCATCCAGTCCAACTCCCTTTACCAGGGCAAGAAAACATAATCAAGCCCCTCCTGACAAGGAGCCATCCAGCCATAGATATAGATATATATGATTCACACACACACAGATATAGTATCATAGATTTGAAAGGGACCCTTACAGAAGGACAATAATATGTTGCATGTTCCAGGGTGGGCAAACCAGACACTCTCCACATCAACTGACAAAGAAACAGCAAGCATAAAGATATTACATACATTAGAAACCAACACTTTCTCATTACTTTATTTTCCAGATCAACAGACTGGGCCACAGCTACCCGTGGCAGGGGACAGCTAGTATATAATAAAAATGTAATGTTCGTTTGTGGGATTAACATAACTCAAAAACTGAATGACACCAAATTTGGACACAATACACCTATCAGGCCAACGAGTGACCATCACTCATAAAAACACTGAAAAACACAGCAGAAGGGATTTAAAAAGCCAAAAAAGCAAAAATATGCTACAGAACATGCACAAAAATGACTCCCCCGGCACACAAAAGTATATCCACACTCTCCTCCGGACTACAGCTCCCAGCATCCCCTAAACTAGGCCCTTTAGGAAAGGAGGATGATCCAAATGCACTGCTTCCAAGCTCCAAGCTTTCTTCTCCTTGGATTTCTTTGAGAGCATCCCAATCCCTGCATAGTTCCAATTTCCTATTCTTGGACTGCAACTTCCAGCAATCCTCCAGATAGATAATTACAGGGAGATAGATAGGTAGGTAAATAGATATATCAGGAGGACTGCTGGGGGTTGCAGTCCAAGAATAGGTAGAGGGGGAGAAAGGGGAAAGGAAAGAAAAGGGCGAAAGGAAGGGAAAAGGAAAGGAAGGAAGGAAGGAGAGAAGGAAAGAAAAAGGGAAGGAAGGAAGAGGGAGGGAAGGAAGGAGAGAAAGAAAGGAGGAGAGAAAGAGGAAGATTGACACAGCCACGCGTGGCGGGTACAGCTAGTCCACCGTAAACATTAAAAATTATCAAACATTGTCTATGGATTAAAGAGGTCTACGCCCCAAATCAAATAACTTTTTGACTATACTACATCGATAGCAGAAGTATTTTTCTTCTCCCTCTGACTCGGCAGTCCTGAAGTTGCAATTGAATCCCTGTTTTGATTATGCCTCCTGGCTCAGGCTACAACTCCCAGGATCCCATAGAACTGAGCCATGGTGACAAGTGGTGTCAAACTGCATTAACTCTCAGTATAGGTGTATCCACAGCCATATCAGCCTACAAAAGCTGGAAGGAAGGGAGCAGGGGAGGAATGGGACATCATCAAAATAATAACAATAATACCTTTTATTTATGACCCGCATCTCTGAATGGCTCAAGGCGGGGTACAACAAATTCCAAAACAAATGCAAGGAAGCCACTAGGTATTGGAGATCAATACAGGAAGAAACCCAGAAGATTCTGAAAAGAAGAATCCTGTTAAAACCAGAATATTTCTTATTCGGAATAACAGTCAAGGAACTAAAGTTAGATTTTTTTTATTTCTCGTGTCAGGAGCAAACCAGTTGTATTGCATTTTTTCACAAACAAACAAAACACAAAGTTTGCAAGCTTGGTAGCTGATTAAATGTCCTTTGACCAGTGTCTAGCCACTTGGAGTGCCTCTGGTGTTGCTGCAAGAAGGTCCTCCATTGTGCATGTGGCAGGGCTCAGGTTGCATTCCAGCAGGTGGTCTGTGGTTTGCTCTTCTCCAAACAAAATCTTCGAACAAAATCTTCTCTGAACAAAATTTGGCCACCCCGTATTAAAATACAGCAAAACAACAGACGGGAAACAATCTGGGACATCTATTCACCTCTCAACAAAATATTGCTCCAGGCACTAACAAGCCACACCAAACAACAGCCAGGCCATCAAATGCTAATCAAGGTGGTCAGTTGAAACATTCACACCTAGCTCCAGCAGACAAGAGTCCTTTGTCCCACCCTCGTCATTCCACAGATATATAAATCCTTTTTCCTAGTTCAACAGACTTCACTACCTCTAAGGATGCTTGCCATAGATGCAGGCAAAACGTCAGGAGAGAATGCCTCTAGAACATGGCCATATAGCCTGAAAAAACCTACAACAACCCATTTACACTTACCAATTGACACCAAATTTGGACACAAGACACCTCTCAGGCCAACAAGTGACCATCACTCCTAAAAACACTGAAAAACACAACAGAAGGGACTTAAAAAGCAACCCCCCCAAATACATTACAATGCATGTGCAAAATCACATATATATACACAGACACATATACACACATCTATGCATATGCACACACAAAACACATACAAAGAAAGGGGGAAGGAAGGAAGGAAAGAGAGAAGGAGGGAGAGAAGGAAACAAAGGAGGGAAGGAGAGAAAGAAAGAAGAAAAGAGGGAAAGGAGAGAAAGAAGAAAAGAATGGTAGAGAAGGAAGGAGAGGAGGGAGAGGAGGAGGGAAGGAGAGAAGGAAAGAAAGAAAGGGAGAGAAGGAAGGAGAGAAGGAAATAAAAAGTGAAAGAGGGAAGGAAGAAGAGAGGAACGAAAAAGAGAAAGAGGGAGGGAAGTAGGGAAGGAAAGAGACAAGGAAGGATGGAGCCAAAGAGCAAAGGAAGCGAGAAACAGGTAGGGAAAGAAAAAGAGGGAAGGAAAGAGGGAGGGAAGAAAGGAAGGAGAGAAAGAAAGAAGAGGAAGAGGAAGAGAAGGAAAGAGAGAAAGAAAGAAAGAGGGAAGGGAAGTTGGCCACAGCAACGCGTGGCAGGTACAGCTAGTGAGTAATAAATATAAATAAATTGGTCTGATCCTGAGAGATGTATGGTGCTGACTGAGGGCCCTTCTACACTGCCATATAATCCAGTTCAAAGCAGATAATCTGTATTTTGTACCGTTGTGTAGAAGGAACCTGAGATGCTCACTCTTCCTATCTTCAGAGTTATTGGGACCAGAACCTCACGGTTGGCCTTAATGTCTGTGTTCCCTTTTGCGTTACGCAAACAGCGCAAGTCCATTCAAAGCCTATCAAAATCTCCCCTATACTAGACTAGGCTACAACGTCATTTCTAGCTCCTCTTTACCAGTATCTCTTTACCAGAGATACTCAGTTCTTGTGGGTTCAACTGAGGCGTTATGTTATGTCTGTTTTGTTGATCTGTCTTGTTGATTGTTAACTGTTGTGGATTGATGCTGTTGATCCTGTTGTTGCATTGTTATGTTTTAATTGCACTGACACTGTTTGATAATTGTACCATGTAAACCACATTGAGTCGCCTGTTAAGGGCTGAAAAATGCGGTATAGAAATAAAGCAAGCAAATAAATAAATAAATCAGTAAATGATACCCTTGACCGATAATCAAGATCAGTCAAATTGTGTTGTCCAAGGCTTTCATGACTGTAATCCACACCCAGCCCACTTACAAATCCTTTGTCCACCCTGGTCATTCACAGATATCATAAAACCGCCCTTTTTTCCCCAGTTCATGCCCAGACCTCTGATCCTTCTATAGATCAACGAACGTCAGGAGAAATGCCTCGAACAGGTCATATAGCCTGAAAAAACTCACAAACTTGTGATATTCTATAGTCCTATGAAACCTTCGACATCTGAGAGTACCGGAAGCTCTCCTCTCCAGTTGCGCCAGGTACGTGTCGTGTGACGACTTGTGCGCCTGCGCCAGGGTGGTGGGAGTAGCCGGTCCGTGTTGTGCTATGGTAACGGCGTCCGTGGCGTTCAGCTGTACTCCGAGTACACGCAGATGGCCGAGGGGCCCGCCTGCTAGCTGTTTTGGGTCCGCATGACTCCCTCGTGTGTCCTTGGTGACCCAGCTCTGGTCTGCGTCCCTGCTACCTGTGGTGAGCAGGGGGTAAGCCATTGTGTTTTCCTAACCTACCGGTGCCCTGTTGGTGTTTACGACGTTCAGCTGATCTTATCGGTATGTGAGGGGGGGGGGGGGGGGGGGGCGCGCTTAAAATGCTCTTAATGGCACTGCTTCTGGTCCTCCTTCCTTGACTTTTCCTTAAAGTTGCGTAGGCCGCCTTTCCTCGAAGTGAGAGGCGCCCCCACAAAGCAGTGGAGAGAGATGCTTTTAGCATAATATGCATTTAAAAAGTGTTGATTCCCCATGTGAATTGGGTTCAAATGACAGGAAAGGAGATTCCCCCTGAACTTCCTGACCATAGAATCATAGAATCAAAGATTTGGAAGAGACCTCATGGGCCATCCAGTCCAACCCCATTCTGCCAAGAAGCAGGAATATTGCATTCAAATCACCCCTGACAGATGTCCATCCAGCCTCTGTTTAAAAGCTTCCAAAGAAGGAGCCTCCACCACACTCCGGGGCAGAGAGTTCCACTGCTGAACGGCTCTCACAGTCAGGAAGTTCTTCCTCGTGTTCAGATGGAATCTCCTTCTTGTAGTTTGAAGCCATTGTTCCACGTCCTAGTCTCCAAGGAACAGAAAACAAGCTTGCTCCCTCCTCCCTATGACTTCCTCTCACATATTTATACATGCCTATCATGTCTCCTCTCAGCCTTCTCTTCTTTAGGCTAAACATGCCCAGCTCTTTAAGCCGCTCCTCATAGGGCTTGTTCTCCAGACCCTTGATCATTTTAGTCGCCCTCCTCTGGACACATTCCAGCTTGTCAATATCTCTCTTGAATTGTGGTGCCCAGAATTGGACACAATATTCCAGGGGTGGTCTAACCAAAGCGGAATAGAGGGGTAGCATTACTTCCCTAGATCTAGACACTATGCTCCTATTGATGCAGGCCAAAATCCCATTGGCTTTTTTTGCCACCACATCACATTGTTGGCTCATGTTTAACTTGTTGTCCACGAGGACTCCAAGATCTTTTTCACACGTACTGCTCTCGAGCCAGGCATTGTCCCCCATTCTGTATCTTTGCATTTCGATTTTCTGCCAAAGTGGAGTATCTTGCATTTGTCACTGTTGAATTTCATTTTGGCACGGAGCAAGCCCTCTTGTCTGCCCACCCATTGGCCAGAGCTCTTTCCCTCTTCTTGCCCCACTTGTGGATCCTTTTCACAGGCAACTGACAGCCACTGCATCTCTACCCAACCTACCTCCATGCAGGAGAATCACAATCAAATTATCACCCTTGACAGATGCCATGCCAGCCCTTGTTTATAAAAGCATTCTAAGCACCTTTGTATGCCTTTCCTGCATGGCGGGTGGGGCTAGAGATGGCCCATGTGGTTCTCTTCCAACTATGATTACCCCGGCACAAACAGTCGTGCCATCCTCTGTTAAAGCCGTCCAGAAATAGAGGAGTTCCATCTTCTGAACTTCTCTCACAGTCTAGAAATTCAGGGGGATCTCCTTTTCCTGTCACATGAATTTTTTTGTATAACCCAGATTCTCTATGGGAAAGCCAGCGACTTTTAATTCTTCTTAGGCTAAAAGCAGCTCATAGTTTTGGAAGAGTTACTCACACGGGCCCATTCTCTAGCCCAGACCCCTGCCAATGCAGAAAGGCCCGTATCAAGGTTCTTGGAAGTCTTTTAAACAAGAGGCTGTGCAGCCAGTTATATGGATTTTGGATTGGAACTGGATGGCCCATGTGGTTCCTTCCAATGCTATGATCTATATGAAATTTATTAATAATAATAACAACAGATGGGTCATCTGTTTGTGTGTTCTAATAATAATAATAATAATAATAAATTCTGGCAACAAATGGTAGAAGAAGAGAAACATGCACTGGCAGAAAGGCAGTCAAGAACCAACATTGAGGGAAGTCAATAGTAGTAAACTGCTTCAAGTGCAAAAGACAAAGAGTGAATACCGTAAAAACACAATCCAGAGCAGAAGAGAAAACTGACAAAAGAAGGCACTCTATGGACAGTTCCTGGAAAAATTGAGAGCCAAATTGAAAAGAAAAAACATGGCTGTGGCTCACAAAAAGGACTTTGAAAAAGGAGACAAAGGAGGGCCTGATTCTGGCAAGCCAAGAACAAGCCATCAGAACCAATGCCATCAAAGCCAGAATTGAAAACTCGACAACAGATCCCAATGTAGACTCTGCAAGGAAGCAGATGAAACAATAGATCACATCCTCAGCTGCTGCAAGAAGATCACACAGACAGACTACAAGCAGAGGCATAACACCGTTGCTCAGATGATTATTGGAACTTGTGCCACAAATACCATCTGCCTGCGACAAAGAACTGGTGGGATCACAAGCCTAAAAAGTTACAGAAAATGAACACGTCAAACTCCTCTGGGACTTCCAATTCAGACATACAGAGTTTTGGAGCATAATACTCCTGACCTCACAATTGTGTTAAAAAGCAAAATATGGATCGTCGACAACGCAATCCCAGGTGACAGCAGGATTGCAGAGAAACAACTGGAAAAGCTGACACTATATGAGGATTTATACTCTCCCAGAATTGGCAAGCGCAGGGGAAGGGAGCACACTTCCTTCACCGGCCCCTGGGCATGCGCTGTCTCCACCAGCCCTCTTCCCCCACATGCTTGCCAATGCCAGGAGTAGTCCTAGGCCTCTTGGGGCCTTTTTAGCACGCTGAGGATGACACATGGGGCCTGCACAAGGAGGCAGGCCCTGAGGAGGCAGGGGTGCGACCCCTCATGAATTGCCAAACGACCCCTCTAGAAATCGCAATCCCCAGGTTGAGAACCGCTGATCTAGCTGTTTGGGACAACATGTGGCCCTAAAGCCATATGAACCCTTTCAGCTGTTTCCCGAGTCAGGCACTATTAAAAAACCTAAATCCAATTGCTAGGATCAGAGTAGACTTATTGACACAATGGGATCTTAGTAATCAGAGTAGACTTATTGACACAACGGGATCTTGGTAAGCTCACACTTAGTAAACGCCATTGATCCAATTGAGTCCATTCTGGTGCAGGTGGGGGGAGGGGTGTGCAGTGCAAATATTAAACCATAAGGATGGAAGGGACAGGAGTGTTGGAAGGTAGTACAACCTCAATTTGTTTAAATTTCCTTAAAGATTTGAAAAACGGTCTTCAGATGATATATAATTAGCAGAGAATAGATGAAATAGTATTGTCAAAGGCTTTCACAGTCAGAATCCCTGGGGTGTTGTGTCGTTTCTGGGCTATGGCTGTATTCTAGCAGCATTTTCTCCTGACATTTCACCTGCATTTATGGCTGGCATCTTCAGAGGATTGCTGAAAAAACAGGAAATATGCTTTTCTCCCTTTACAAACCATTGCTTGTCCCATATGGAAATACGTACAAATCCGATCTATAAGTGAAAGGCAAATCAGGTAATAGGAGTTAACGTGTGCTAAATTAAGTTACACTTTGACTGAAAAATTGGTTGTATTCCTAGACTCAGACTTGAATCTGAAGACACAGGTTTCTAAAGTGGCTAGGAGCACTTTTGCATACTGTGCCAGCTGCGCGTGTTACTGGAGATGCCTGACCTGGCCAAAGAGACACATGTTTTCATAGACTCATAGAGTTGGAAGAGACCACAAGGGCCATCTAATCCAACCCCCTGCCGTTCAGAAAACAGAATCAAAGTACCTACAACAGATGGCCATCTATCATTTAACTACAACCCATTTGGATTATTGTGAGAAACTTATCACGCTGTTTTGAAAGCACTCAGAAACTTTATTGAGTTAAAGGGATTAGAGAATGTGTAATTTCTGCCCTTACCCACAAAATAAAGCTTTTTCCAGTCAATATGAACATTATCAGCTATGGTCCAGGCACATGCTATCTGAAGGGTTGTATCTTTCTGGCCAAGCTGTAAGATCTTTGGAGGAGATTGTTCTGTTGAGTGCACCATCTGATGGAAATGTAGGCACTGGCAATTTTGGTGATGCTCCCTAGCTTTGGATCTTCTTTCTTCTCAACCTTTTGTCAGCAAGTGAAAACTTTACTATTTTAACAGGCTTTTTAAGGTGGGCTGCCAGAGCTTTTAATGGTGTGCTATTTTATTGATTGATGCCTCTTTAAAGAGTTGTTTTAAATTGTTTTAAATCTGTGGATAGTTTAATTGTATTTTAGTAATATTCTTGTCTATGATTTATAAGCATAAAGTTAATTGATAATTTTACCTACTTCAAATATGTGTACATGAAATTATTTGCAGCAGAATACAGTTTGCAAAACACTTGTTGTATTCTGTGTTAGGTTTCCACTCTAGAGACTTGTCCAATATTATTGAACAATTTGCCTTTGTGTGGAATGGTGGAGATTCCATTTCTCTGGGTTGGATCCTCAAGAGCCCTTTTAACATTGAATTGCATTCTGCTGCAATAATCTTCTCATTTGTCTCTTCTCATTAGCTTTAATGTATGTTTTAACACAAGTGTATGATCTATTATTTCCTTTCAAAATTTGTTTATATGTGTTTTAGATCCAATACATGTGTTATCAAGTGAAAGGGATCATGCACAAGCAACTGCCCAGGCCCATATAATTAATGATGAAATGGTAGGTCATTATAGTCTATGATGGTTCTCATCACATCTTTTACATTTCTGTTAAATTATGTATCTGTGTTTGGGAATATTAAAATTTCCTTCTTGAGGAAAGTAATAACTTTACAGGAGGATGATTGGTAAATGATTCTAATAATGCCAGTGCTACCAAAAACACAAATGCTCATATCCATTATAGAAAGGGATTGTTATTCAACATATAAAGGGACTCAGTTCATGTGGATGCAATAATCCCTTCTGCCCCTCACCCCTGTGTTTTTCCAAAGGCAACTGCCACATGCATGTGCGAGTCCCAGTATCCCTCTGGCACAGACAACCATTTCCCTTTCTTCCTCCCTTTCACTCTCTACCTGAACCCACATGAGCCCAACCTCCCCTTCCCATCCCAATACCCAGTTTCCTCTACTCTCAGTCCCTGTCCCACGTCTAGGATGAGGTGCCTAGCAATGTTTTTTACCATTAATACTGTCTTTAGTATGATCCATGATTGCAGAGCCCATAGTTACTGTAAGGCTTTTGTTGGATACTTTATAAGATTAGATATGTAGCACTATAAATAGCAGTTGATCGACTCCCCTAAAGTCTTAGCAGTAAATATGCTTACCTATTTACCTCATTTCTTAGATTTCAGTATTGCTAACAAAGTTTTGAGTCTAAGAAAAAAGAAATTTCTTAGAATATCTTTTTGATATTCTTATATTTTAACTCTCTTGCATGTACAAATTAGTTTGATTTAATGAATGTATCTCCCTAGTCACAGGGACCTTTATTACACTTTGTATATCTGGAATCATGTTATATCTGGAATCCAGCTATAATTTCTTGACATCTCTCTATTTCTCTGTCCTTCATTTTGCATCCAGTTTCCTTTTTGGTAATTATTGTTAATATAATTTGATCCTCAGTGTTTGAAAAAGTAATTTTATGCTTTTTATTAAATACATTACAAATATTGTTTTATCACGTGTATTCTCAATGTTTTACATACAGTATTTTGTCTTTTCCATGCCAAATAAAACAGAGGAAAGTACCAGCATTTAAAACAATGTTTAGTAACCTGGTCCACTATCCGCCGTACTCTGTGCAATTAGAAGAAAAATATCCTGTCCCCCCATTCATTGATCGAAGGTGGAGGGGAAGGGTCCTGCGGCGCCTTGAGGCTCTTCAGAAGCTTGATGTGTAAGTGACCTTTGGCATGCTTTTTAAATGAAGTTTTTGAATGCTCTGATATAAATAGACAGTGATTTCTGAGAATTTAAGGGAAAGTGATGTCACATAGTATGGTGCCAAAATATTGTTGGAAAAATCTTTCATACTGAGCTTTTTGAGGGTTTGAATTCAAATCAATGTGTTCAGATGGGAAGCATTACCTGATTACCATGTTTGTGATTGTCCTTTAACCAACTCTTTTTAAATGAACTCCCAATGTCTTTTTGCTTTAGATTTCTAGCCATGAGATTCCACTCAGTAATTCCCTGAACTTGTTAAAATCAGTTTCCTGAAATCCAAGGTCCGTATTTGACCATACTCTTTTTTCGGCTGTGCTATAATAATGAATTCTACCATTGCATAGCCATTTCCTCTTAAAGTGCAAATGGCCTTGATTCCAGTGGCCAATTCATCTCAATTGGTTAAAACAAGTCCAGGATTGCTGATCCCCTTACTCTTTCCACCTTCTGAAAGAGAAAATGATCTGCAAGACACATCAAGAATGTGAACCTGTGCTTAGCACAGTTGATCTTCTAGCAGATAACAGGATCATGACTGTTAATTCTTGCATCTTGGAGGTTTCTGAAATTTGTTTCAAAAAAACTTTGTCCACCACTTTTTCTTGCTGTCATGACCAGTAGAAGATTCCAGTTGCAATATTGTTTTAAATTTCATTCTTCCATCTTTTAGGTCTGTGAGGTAACATCTATGTGGTTTTGAGAAAACACTCTTTTTGAGCTTTAAATAGTTCTGTTGTTGTTGTTCATTCGTTCAGTCGTCTCCGACTCTTCGTGACCTCATGGACCAGCCCACGCCAGAGCTCCCTGTCGGCCGTCACCACCCCCAGCTCCTTCAAGGTCAGTCCAGTCACTTCAAGGATGCCATCCATCCATCTTGCCCTTGGCCCCTCTTCCTTTTGCCTTCCACTTTCCCCAGCATAATTGTCTTCTCTAGGCTTTCCTGTCTCCTCATGATGTGGCCAAAGTACTTCAACTTTGTCTCTAGTATCTTTCCCTCCAGTGAGCAGTCGGGCTTTATTTCCTGGCGGATGGACTGGTTGGATCTTCTCGCAGTCCAAGGCACTCTCAGAACTTTCCTCCAACACCACAGCTCAAAAGCATCGATCTTCCTTCGCTCAGCCTTCCCTAAGGTCCAGCTCTCACATCCGTAGGTTACTACAAGGAATACCATGGCTTTGACTAGGCGGATCTTTGTTGCCAGTCTGATGTCTCTACTCTTTACTATTTTATCGAGACTGGACATTGCTCTCCTCCCAAGAAGTAAGCGTCTTCTGATTTCCTGGCCACAGTCTGCATCTGCAGTAATCTTTGCACCTAGAAATACAAAGTCTGTCACGGCCTCCACGGTTTCTCCCTCTATTTTCCAGTTGTCAATCATTCTTGTTGCCATAATCTTGGTTTTTTTGACGTTTAGCTGCAACCCAGCTTTTGCGCTTTCTTCTTTCACCTTGATTAGAAGACTCCTCAGCTCCTCCTCGCTTTCGGCCATCAGAGTGGTGTCATCTGCATATCTGAGGTTGTTAATGTTTCTTCCAGCAATTTTCAAATAGTTCTGGAGATAGTCAAAATATACTTGAACATTTGCCCTGCACCCTCTAAGACAGGGTTTCTTAAACTTTCCTACTTGCAACTCTTTGTGGCCAAAATCATTTACTGATAACAGCTCAGCATTTGCAAGGTTTGCTAAAAGGCCGATTTTCCTTTTGATAAAGTACAACTGAAACATCTTCTGCAGAGTCCACTGTAAACACTGTACAACAGATTCCTGTAAATGTCTGAAACAGCCATCAGAAACCTTTTACTGTTGCCAATTTTGTAACCCCCAACATTGAATAAAGGGCACCTCATTTGGGGTCAGGACCCACAGATTAAGAAGCAGTGCTCTAGGGAACTTGACAATATTGATTAACAATTATGTCTTAGAAATTTAGGTTTGCTAGTTATCTAAAACCAAGTATGACAGATGTGGCTTAAAGAACCAGCTTATCAATAAAGGAATGAACTGCCTCATATGGGCCTGCGCACCCAGAACAAGCCTCAGCTCACAAGCATTCTGACAGAAGAGCCAGCTTTCTTTTCTCAGTGTGGTGGGCTACTTTTTCTGCAGTTCTTTTTGAAACAATGTTAAGGGGAAAGCTTTGTCAAAATTCTAAATGCTGTGTCTCTCTGCAATGTTAGATCTAACAATGAATTTCATAGTTCTTATGTTCCTTATAGATCTCAGCCTTCACTTCATATTCCTGGAATTGAGTATGAAGATCCTGAAGTTAGTGGAAGGAATCGCTGGAAGTATTTTGAACGGTGGGAACTGACTAGAGTTTATCATGTTAATGTCCTAATGCACTGGTAGTGTTACCAAATGCACAATGGTTGCCAAAGATACACGAGAAAGGCAAATTATGCCTTTCATATTCTCAAAGCATCAAAAAGATAACACCTCTTCCCTTCAAAATGTGTTGCTCATTGTTGGTTTGCAAGTAGACGTTCACCTACCTTGATATGCATTAAACAGCAGAGATATTAAGTTAGCTATGCTAATATATAAAATGAGAGCAATTTGTATGTAATAACAATAATATTATAATAAAACCATCTCCCCAAGGGGACTCAGAGAGGTTCCCAGGAACATCACAAAACATACAAAGTAAGAAACAACATAACCATAAGATTAACAAAACAAAATATGAGCATAAAAATTGTTGCCATAACACACATATATTAAAAGTTCAAGGAATTTGACCTGTTCAACCTGGAATTTGCCTGTTCAAGGAATTTAACAATTTTTAAAATTTATTTATTTATTTATTTGGTGCATTTATTAACCGCCATTCTCAGCCCTTCAGGGCGATTCTGGGCCAAGATTTGTGCAAGCCCAAAATTCTAGAGGCTATTACACTGGCCAACACACATTTTGGTGCCTCAAATGTTGGCCCTGTTTCTGGGTATATTTGACCTGCTAATGACAAGAATTGCACTAATTCTCCCCTATCAGCTCTAGTTTTTGAAATACAGAACATAGGCTATCTCCCAGTTATCATCTGTTTGCCCATAGAAAATTATAATAACCATATCTTAGAAACTAAAGATGATGCGGCCTCTCTAATGCCATTCTCTGAATCAGTGCCCCAAATAATCCAAAGAAGAGGCCTAAAACAGAAATAATTATTTTTGCTGGTCTGTGTTATTTATCGGTAGGAGAATGAAACCTGGACCATTTTCTGACCTCACAGAGAGAGCTACGTATTAACATTATTGGCAAAAAAATCTGCAGAAGATCCCACTTGTTTGCATTTCCTGGCCTGTTTAGGGAGAAAGCACATTGACCAGTTTCTCCCAGACTAGCAGTTTCCTTTTTTGGGGTGTCCCCATCAGTGTATTTTTAGAGTGGAAGTCTAAGGAATTTGATCAAAGGCTACTAAAGTGGACTTGGAGACTAATGAGAGGACCCCACCCTTATATCAATACATCTTAATGGTGTTTTTAACAAAATCTTAGAAGAGTGTCAATGGTTTGTGAAGTTGCTGCTGAAAAGAAGGCATGTAGTCTACTTGTTAACAAACATATTGTCTTCCAGTAACGAATGAAATACATTGTCTTTTTTGTTTCCTGAGTCATCCCTAATATATTCTGTCTTTTCAGGCCTTTTATACCATTTCATAAACCAATTCCACTGAATGTTGTCTACGCCATGTCAAAGTAAGTAGTGACATGCTCCCTAATTAACGGGCTATGTCAAAGTAAGTAGTGACATGCTCCCTAATTAACGTGACATGCTCCCAGTTAATGGGCTATTTCATGATTTCTTAGGGAAATGTTTTCTCCATTTTCTAATCTTTATATGTTAATTCCAAAACCATTTATTTCTTGAAAAATCCAGGAAACAGACCATCACCAAGATGATAAGGGGTGCTACTGAGTGTAGAGAGGCACACTCAGACCACCTGAGCTGTGTGAATCTGTGTGCCTGTCCATATTGCTCTGGGTGAAGGGGAGGAGAAAACTATGATCTGTCAAATCTTATGGCATTCCTTTGGCATACTGGGATAGAACATACTTAATACTTGCTAAACTTGCAGATCATAAATGTGAAATATATATATATAGAAAAAAAAATCTGCACACAGAAATGGAAAAAGGCCAGCTATTAAAAGCCCTTAATACCCAGATATTTCTGCATGAGTGATCACCCTCAAAATTTGCTGGTGAATTAGCCATGATAGGAACAGCTTACTGTATATGTCTTTGAATCAGTGAGGTCATTGTACAAGAGTAAGCTTGTAGCTTCTTCACTAATTTTAACAACATTTTTTTCTACTAATCATTGTACTTGAGATATCTGTAAATCGTAGAATCACAGAGTTGGAGGAGACCACATGGACCATATTGCAAGCTGCAGCCATCCGGGGCGCCCAGGGTATGGAAAAAAGAGATAGAGTGGCTCTGGGCCCAGAAAATCACCCCTCTTTTACCTGTCTGGCCTGCCCTTGTATCCTATTACCGTACCGCCTCCTCTGCCTCTCAGATATTGCTCCTGAAGACTGCAGTGAAGCAGCGCAGGTACGCATGTGCAAGATCTGAGAGGCAGAGAAGGAGGTACAGTAATAGGAAAATTACCATATTGAAATCAAATCTGATGTTTTTTTATTTTTATTTGGTGTGCGTTGGAAGAGGGGTAGTCTTATACAGCAAATATATCCCAAACTCTATATTTTAACTGGATAAGTTGGTCGTCTTATACACCCAGTCGTCTTATATACGGTATGTACAATATATTATATTACATTATATTATATTATTAGCATAGCACAGGAGACAAGGTGGAACTGTCTTCTGGCCCCCTCTCTCTTCACTCTGGCCCAGAGCAGCAGTTGGTGCTGGGGGGAGGGGTCCCCAATTGATGACATCACTGTCAAAATAGTGAAAGTAGCAGAATGGTGTAACATTGGAAAGGTTGTGGAATGTCATCGTCAGGACTGAATGCCATGATCAACCAATTAGGTGTAAGTTCCAGAGGTCCCAGTGCCTGTTTTAAAATGAAGGCAACAAATCAACCCAATTGCTTGATCTACTTCTAGCAGTCTAAGAATGTGTCTGGAAACAACAAATACAGTGAATCAGGAAGATTGAGGATTAGTGCAAATAATGTATAACAAAGAAGTCAGGGGTTGAGGACATGGAACATTCGAAAAGTTGAGTCTATGGCAGGGGTCCTCAAACTAAGGTCCGAGGGCCTGATGCAGCCCCCCAAGGTAATTTACCTGGCCCTCGCTCAAGGTCAACCTAAGTTTGAAACAACTTGAAAGCACACAACAACAACAACAACAACAATCCTATGTCATCAGCCAAAAGCAGGTCCACACTTCCCATTGAAATACTAATACATTTATATTTGTTAAAATAGTTCTTCAATTTTAATTATTGTATTGTTTTTAAGTGGTTGGGGGTTTTTTTTGGGGGGGGGGTTTGCACTACAAATAAGACACGTGCAGTGTCCATAGGAATCCATTCATGCTTTTTTCAAATTATCATCCGGCCCTCCAACAGTTTGAGGGACTGTGACCTGGCCCTCTGTTTAAAAAGTTTGAGAACACCTGGTCTATGGTGTTGACAGAAATGTTAAAAGAAATAAGGGAGACTGCTTCTAACAGGGTCACTTTGTTAATAGAATGCAACCTATTGCAGGGGTAGGCAGCAGGTTAGAGAAGACTTGAGGATTAACACAGTCAGCCAGCCTTATATTTTAACAAAATCAAATCAATAAATTAACTATGAATGATGAGAGGAGATGCAGTATAATAGGAATGATTTATAGAGCAGTTACAAATTTCAGAACTGTTGTCAGAGAAAAATATGTATAACTACAGGTTGCTGCTGGGATGAATCACAGCTGAAGACCAAAGACAGGGGTGCAACTAAACTAATGAGGGAATTGTCCCTTCTAATAAGAATTCTGCCCTTCTAATGAAATGTTATTTCATTTCGGAAATGTCAAGCATTGCAATCATTTAAAACTTTAGTGGAGCGCAATATTTAGAAATTGAATTTCGGCATCCAAAGAAAGGGGGAAGACAAAATTACCAAGAGAATGCAAACACAGCAAATATAAAAGTTCTAAGTAGAAACCAATCTTAGGGTTATAATCTCTAATGCTTCAAATTTGGGCACTGAAGGAAGTTTAAAATTGGGGGTGGGGGGCAGGTTTCCTGGAGAAGGGAAACATCCTGATTTCAACTTCTCCCCCTTATATCATGCACCTTGTTCTTTGGTTTGGATTTTGTATGTGAATTTTTCAGATTCACACAGCACCAATATCATTGCATCCTTATCTCTACCCCTTTTGTAGGGTGGTGTAATGGGGTTTCAGGACTACTTGGAAGACATTTTATTCTACTTTAAAAAAATAAACATTTTAACTCTTTCACATTTTATTTACCAATAAAGTTATATCCCAATTGATATGTGGTGTGATTTTTGAAGTGTGGGACTTTAAACTCTGGAACTCTGGATGTGAATCTCTGCTCATCTGTGAAACAGATTGTGTGCTTTCAGTTTAATTACTCCCAATCAAGTTCACCTACTTTACATGTTAGCTGTGAGGACAAAAAGTCCGCCTTGGTGAAACAAATGCAATTGACAAATCAGTCAGAAGTATAGCTTAGATCAGGCTTCGTCAATCTGCAGCCCCCCAGGTGCTTTGGGCTTCAGCTCCCAGAGTTCCCAACCAGTGAACTAGCTGTCTAGGGCTTTTGGGAGTTGGAGGCCCAAACAATGAGAGGGCTACAGGTTGAAGAGGCCTGGCTCAGATGACAATAATTTATTTTTCAGTCAAAACAACAATGTTTGATTCTCACTTGATTTTTCCAGGCCAGAGCTGTATGAGAGTCAAGCAGAAACTGGGGACAAACCTGCTTACCTCATTTCACGATCAGTTGGCACACAGACGGATTACCGGGATGGTGAAGCTCAGACAGATCCCTACAGCCCTGAGTATGTGGTGCCTTCTGGCTCAATTCCTGAATTACTGACCCTTGCCACACTGACCTGGGGTGAGTGGAGGGAGCACTGATGGTTATATCAAGTGAATTTCCTGTATAGCAAAGTTTAGATTTGTTCCCCTACCACCAGGCCTGTAGCAGAAAAGAAATTCAAGTGGTGGTGGTGGTGGTGGGTGGGGGGGTGTTGATACATTTTTTAGTGAATCATGAAGAGTAGGCCCATAACACAAAACGATTTAATTTATATGATTCATTCTATATTTTATATAGATTTAATTAAATCTAATTTCTGTTTTAGTTACAAAGTTCCAAGTTTTAAAAAAAGGAAAATGACTCTTAATTGGTAATTTATGGTTACAAAAGTGAAAACACTTGAAAACTGTGCCAATACACTTTGACAGAAATCAGACTCCATCGATAAACTTCGGTAGACACTCAAAAGTGCAAGTCCAGCCAGTCTTTTTTACCTCATTGTTCTGAGGTACTCATATCCAAAGTTTAATCTGCCAAAACAGAGAAACACTGTGCTGCATTGCATCTTTCAACAATTTTTGAACTATCTTGTCACCACAAATGTTCATTAGTTTATTTTGTACTAGCTGCCCTCTGCCACATGTTGCTGTGGCCCAGTCTGGTGACCTGGAAAATAGTGTTGGTTTCTAATATATGTAATTTCTTTATGCTTGTGGGTAAACAGTATTTCTTGTCAGTGTTGATGTAGAGATTGTCTGGTTTGCTTACTCTGGAACATGCAACATATCATTGCCATTCTTTAGAGGTCCTTTTGAAATCTCTGATACTATATCTGGCATATATATGTGTGTGTGTGTGAATCATATCTATTTCTCTATATCTAGGGCTGGATGGCTCTTTCTCAGGAGGACTTTGATTATGTTTTCTTGTCCTGGTGAAGGGAGTTAGACTGGATGGCCTTAAGGCAGCATTTCTCAACCTGGGGGTCGGGACGCCTGGGAGGGTTGTGAGGGGGTGTCAGAAGGGTCGCCGAAGACTACCAGAAAATGCAGTATTTTCTGTTGGTCATGGGGGTTCTGTATGGAAAGTTTGGCCCAATTTTCTCGTTGGTGGGGTTCAGAATGCTCTTTGATTGTAGGTGAACTATAAATCCCAGCAAATACAACTCCCAAATGTCAAGGTCTATTTTTCTCAAACTCCACTAGTGTTCATACTTGAGCATGTTGAGTATTTGTGCCAAGTTTGCTCCAGATCCATCATTGTTTGAGTCCACAGTCCTCTCTGGACGTAGGTGAACTACAACTCCAAAATTCAAGGTCAATGCCCACCAAACCCTTCTAGTATTTTCTGTTGGTCAGGCAATTTTTGTGTGCCAAGTTTGGTTCTATTCTATCGTTGGTGGAGTTCAGAGTGCTCTTTGATTGTAAATGAACTATAACTCCCAGCAACTATAACACCCAAATGACAAAATCAATTTTTTTGAGTGATGGTCTCTTGTTGGCCTGATAGGAATATTGTGTCCAATTTTGGTGTCAATTCGCCCTGTGGTTTTTGAGTTCTGTTAATCCCACAAGCGAACATTACATTTTTATTTATGTAGATTTGAGGACTAGTATATTGGGCATTCATAGCTGCAGTTTTGAGATGACCTTTTAGGTCAGTGTCTTCTGATCTGGTATGAGATCTCAACAAGGCCCTGAAGTTGCCATCATTGTGCAAAGGTTCTTCACAATAGGTCCCGAATCTTTGCTACCTTTTAAAGCCAGTTCTTGTCGGCCACAAAGGACAATAGTTTCCACAATTGGCAAACTTTTCTTTATGTTTTCTTCTGCTTCTGCATTCCTTTATCATGATGACGGGTTTCATCAGGACATTTTTACTGTGAATTAGCAAGAAGTTTTCACCAATTACAAGTTGTTCTGGTGGTACTCTATTGTTTTTTTTTGTTGTCCATTGAGGACTTCTATTGAATTTTTCCATAACACAAATCATTTAACAACAAATGCACGAAGCTGCTGATGATCACCTTTACCCCCAACTTCTCTTCCAAACACTACACAATACTTACGGAGTGCACCATTTGGGTTGAAAATTTAGAAGCCTCCTCTTATCCACAGGAAATACATATCCTGGTGATGAAGTCTGTGGATTTTGCACTAATTGAGCTTTCACTTGGTCGTCAGAAACAGTCTTGTTCATATAATGTCCGAGGTCTAACAACGACACAGCTTCTTGTCTTTGCTCCTGTTTCATTATTTCTTTAGCAGGGCTTAGATTAGATGAACAAGTGGTAGACACCGTAGTTTCCACTGTTTCCAACTGCAATTTAGGTGTGCATGTCTTCATCAGTATCAGCTGTTGCAATGGTTCTCAACCTGCGGTCTTCTTGGTCTTCAATATTTGGCCTTTTATTTTTTGCCATGAACTCTAAAATGTTAGTTGCTTTGATAGACGCTGTCTTCCTTGAGGCATCCCAGGAAGCCTAGGGTGAGAAGGAGAACTCTGCTTGGTGCAGCCACCCAAACCTTCAGCTCTTATGCTCTTCTGGGAAATCCCTGCCAATAAATGCCAAGGGCAGAAACTGCCCAAATTGTATGGTGAACCTCTGGGATAAAGGCATAGCAATGGGAATCTACTATCTTCTGGAAAAGAGGAGGGGAAGGAGCAAAAAGGGAAAGGCCTAGTTTCCCATTAGGAACCTGCCTCCTACTTCAAGCTGAAACAAAGAGCAAAGCAGGGGGCAGAGCAGCCTCAAATAGCATGTAGCTCTGCCCCTGTCAACTGGCCCCATCAAGTCTGGTCTCCTTCTTGAGGGCCTTCAAATTCCCCCTACAACTTAGGCTTTGCCTGCCAATTTTGGGTGGGCCAACTTGGTTGCTTTCACTATGTCAGCTATTGCTATTTAAATTGGTAGAAAGATAGGTAATGACTGTGAATAAATTGTCAAAATGTGATTGAGATAGAGCTTGCAGTTCTGGAAGGACTCTTAATTTTAGCATGGGGATTTGGTTAACCAGTTAAATTTATGAGTAAACCAGGTTTTTTAACCTAAAACAATTGGGAGGGGGGGGATTGAACCCCTAACACCCCTCCCCCTTGGCTACAGGCTTGCCTACTACTACTACTTATTCTTCAGTTATATACTACCTTTCTCCCCGTAATGGGATTTAAGATAACAGCATATTGAAACAAAACCAATAAAAATAACACAGAAACCAAGATAAAAGTATAAATACAAGTGTTAAAAAAACAAGTTATAAATTAAATAATTAAACATCAAAATAATAAAATAAAATTTGAAAACTATGTACAAACATTAGCACTGTTGGGGTTGCACTGCTGCCTCTTTGAATTCCATAAATTTATTTACATGCCACTTTGTTTTACTGAGTAATCCAAATTGCTAAATTACCAGTAGCAGAAATAGACATTTATATTAAAGTACTCATCGGACGTCAAAACATTTTGTTGCCTGGTGAATAATAGCAAGTGGTTACCCTTTCCCATCTCAGTATAAAGATTCGTAGTGTCATTTTGGACCTGAAACCAGAATAAAAGTCTGAAAGTGCCTCTTCCTGGAAATAAAAATGAAATGAAACTAATAAAACAACTAGCTTGTTGCAGTCATTTCATGAGCCTCAAACTAGCTGCTTATGAACATTAAACGTGAAATGTTTAAAGAGAAATGAGACAAAAGATTAGGGACGCCTTCTTCACTATCTCCAGAATCCCAACTATAATCAATAGTCTGTTTGCATACACAAAGACAACCTGCTCCAGTTGTGCTTTCTCAGTCTCTCTGAAACGACAAAAAGACAACTTCTTAGTATGGCCCCTCCAAGAATGAGGACATCAACACCTGGGTCATGCCTCCACCCAGCTGAGTGGGCAACAGCCATGCTGTTGTTAGAGCTGGAAGGCACTCTGGGCCTGGGTTTCTTGTAGACAGCAGACTGATGGATGGCAGAGATGCCAACTCCATCACACTCTCCCATCTGCCTTTTGAACACCTAGCTTGGGCCAACCCAGCAAACTGGAAGAAACAGCATTAATTTCAGTGTCACCTCAACCACCTATATAGTCTGGGATGAAGAAAAGCACTAGGACATGGAAATAACGGCTAACCAGCCCATTTCCTTTATTGACCATTTTCAGAAGGAGGAATCTTGAGCCTTCTGATAATTACTCTAATGAGAGTTATCACATTACTGTTTTAGTTGCATTTGAAAAATGAAAGATTTTCAGAAGCTGTTTCAAGGAATAGACCCTTGACCTTGATAGGTTTCCTAAAAAGAAGATATGTCTCCATCACGCATTTCTATTTTTTCTTGTTTTTTGAAGGGCGGGGCCTTCCAGCAACCCAGGCAGAGGTGGAGGTGATTGAACGTGCCCGAGAGAAACGTGCCTGGGAGGCAACCCTACCACCTCTGAATGATGCAGCACACATTGCAAAAAGGAGACGGATGATGGACGAAATGGAGAGGAAAGAGTGGGCCTTCCGTGAGGAAGAAATAGAAGAGTATGTGCTTTATTTTCTTTGGAAATAAATCTATATGTGTCTTAAAAGCTGTGTTCCAACTTCTAATTATGCGACAAGAAGCAATCTTTCAAACTACTATTTATGAACCATTTCAGAGATTATAGAGCAGGCCTGCACAACATATGACCCACAGGCCAGATGCGGCCCACAAAGGCTTTCTTGCAGCCTGCAAAGTAAAGGCCAGCCCCTTTGCCAGCCTCCCACCATTCCCATGAGGCTGGCAAACAAGCAAGGCTTCAATTTATCTCTTGGCCTTTTTTCTACTCCTTAGGCAGGTAAGCAACTGAAAGGGCCGACCAGCGAAGATAATTGAAATGAAATGTTTTTATTGTTCAGTGTCAGTCAATAGTACTGACAGAAGAAGTTTGTTTGCACCTTTCTCTGAGGCAGAGAATTTAACTTAAGACTGAGAGCGTGTGACTCACTCAAGACAACCATTAATAATTAGATTATGTGCCTGACATTGTCCAGGTGTGCATTTTCTAATGCTAATTATTAAAAATTCTCATTGTAAGCATTATAATTTTATGATTATTAAGTGGTACAAGCTTGAATGCATTTTCAAGTTTTCTTACTGTTTATATTTAGTTAATTAGCAAAGTAATTTTCCCATTAATGTGATTTCATAATAAATAAAAAAATTACATAATCCGTGTGATTAATTTATATTCATTGAAACTTCCCTTTTTCTAATCTGGTTAATTTGCATGAATAGTTTATTCATAAATATAGCTTTATTTAGAAAGTTAGATGCTAAAAACCTATCTGCGGCCCAAAGACACAGATAGGTTTGAATTTCGGCCCCTTACTACTAACAAGTTGTGCAGGCCCACTTTAGAGGGAAGATGACTTTTGTGGGCTATAATCTTAATACTTCCTTGGGACTCCCAAGTTGGGAGTGAGCTGTATTTTTAATAAAACATTATGGGCATTATTATAGAATGGTATAAAATATGTATACTGTAGGCCCCAACCTTTCATGGGGATTCAGAGCATAGGACCATAGCAAAAGTGGAAAAAACTGCAAATTAGAGAATACTGTTTTTTTTCCTGAAAGAAAAACTCACGGTCCTCACAGTGACTCTATGGCCAGCCTCTGCTAGAAGTGTTCTCCCTAGGAATTTCTAATTTCTTCTGTTTGACTCCAAGGTCAGGTTCCAAAAGAGATATTGTGCTTGAGAGCCTAAAGATTCCAGGAGAGAACCTATTAATCTAATTTGTGAATAATCAGATCTGCAATAGTTAAATATGCAAATGTGGAGGGCCAGTTGCAATAAATATTAATGAAACAGACACTGTTAGATCTGCATGATTGCTTTTTTTGTTTAGTTTTTAAAGAAATACCAGTACTTATCATGGGCTGAAAGATGACAGTTATTTTTGGGATCTGATTGACATTATTCTCTATTATTGTAATGTTCTTTTTTGAAGATTGCAAGAAGTTAGACTAGAACTTCTAAAGGCCCTACTGAGAAATCGGGAAGAGAATCGCAGTGAACTAAACGTCAGTCGCTTAGATACTCAGTGGTTTAAGCTCATGCGAGAAAAAGAAGAGAAAGTGAAAAGGATTCAACATGAACACATAAAGGGTAATATGGCTGATTAAATATAGATCTGGTTTCCCAAACTACTAAAGGCAACCTTAGGGGTTTGTTTGTTTTTTGGTTGTGTCAGGAGCGACTTGAGAAACTGCAAGTCGCTTCTGGTGTGAGAGAATTGGCCGTCTGCAAGGACGTTGCCCAGGGGACGCCTGAATGTTTTGATGTTTTTACCATCCTTGTGGGAGGCTTCTCTCATGTCCCCGCATGAGGAGCTGGAGCTGATAGAGGGAGCTCATCTGCACTCTCCCCAGATTTGAACCTGCGACCTGTCGGTCTTCAGTCTTGCCTGCCCACTGCGCCACCGGGGGCTCCTTAGGTTAGAGTGAATGTAACCTTAGGTTACAGTGAATGGTTAACAAGTTATCTGAAACATTGGCCTTTCCTAAGAGGCCTGAAAGTTTGACATTTTCATTTAGAATTGATATACATCTTGTCTAACATTGCCTTCTAGCAATCAGAAGAATAATAGCTAAAAGCAAAAATGTGGAAGGAAAATTGGAGAGAAGGAATATCATCAAGGACTACACAGAATATGACTCACAGCCTTATGCTCCTCTTTCAAGGATTGGTTACTTTCCAGATAACCATGCAGACCGTTACGTTGTGAAGAACCCATTTCTTAATACCTATGAAGGTAAATCATGTCGTACAGCACCATTATGACCCAGGACTCATGAGATAGGGAGAGAATTGTCTTCAGTTCCATATACCTCTCTTTCACATGCATCTTCCATTGAAATCTGTGGAAATGCTGTTATGGTTGAAAGAGCTTTGTTGGATTTCCTCTCCCTAACCAGGCCTGATTGATTCAAGATACTTAATTCTGTTAAATCACAGTGAAAATATTCCAGTATCTGCTCTCCTCCACCCACCTGGCTTCCATTCTGCCTTTCTTAGGATTACTTGAACTGGAGGCATCTTTTCCTGACTCTGTTACCCAGCCTCGAACAGAAGCTCCAAAACCCAAGAGCACCACTACTAAGGATGGGTTTATTAAGCGGTCTGCTAGATATGAGATGGATCTGGCAGAGGTTTACCAGGTATTCAGCCTCTGGGGGGCCATTTCAGTGTCAACTTAAGAAATATATCCAAAAAGTTTTATGGTTGCCTTCAAAGACCTGGTTTCTAATTATAAGACAGTAAATGTAAATACAGGGTGAGGCAGCATAACTTCCTTTTTTTAAAACGTGCGCCATTCAGTCGGTTGAAGACATAGCGGAGCGTTAGTGGTCTCGTTCAAGAGGCGGGAGTATAAAGTTTTGTCCTGACACAGTTCAGTCACCATCATGCGTTGGAACAGTGAGGAGCATGCTTTTGCCGTTGAGGCCTACTTTTCGAGTGGATTTGGAGTGGCCGGTCCGCTCTCCAGATTTGGCCCCTTGTGATTTTTTCTATGGGTTTTTTTAAATCCCGTGTTTATGTGAACTCGCCACAGAATAAAACTCCTTGCAGAGTATGTTGCTCAACAAAGACTAGCTGATCCACCCCTCCAGAAGACTGTTGGTGAATTTCTCACCTCAAAAGTTGAGCTTTTTTTGATAATTTGAACCCAATCGCCTGACGAAGGGTCTTGTGAGTCGAAACCAGTTGCTGGTTGGAGTCAATTCATGTGACTACTGGAGTCTACTCATATGTAATAAAGAACAGGACACAAAGACTTTGTTTTATACTTCAAGAGAAGAACCAGTTGAATGTGAATGTGGGAGTCCTGTTTTTTTTATATATGTATTTGTAATGTATACATTGAGTCAATTTAGTTATTTTCACATTACCACAATCAGTGGATTTTGGTCTCCACAGTTTTAGGGGAACCCATTTTTCTTTTTGGTAAGTCATGAGAAATGCCAGAAATCGGTTTACTCAGTGTATGGAGAATGGAGAATGGGGAACATCACCTACCCAATTTGATCTTCAAAACTATGTAAAACAAAACTTTAGGTATGCGCCTACATTATAATTTCTTTTTCTGATTCATACAATGGGTTTTATTAAGTTTTGAAAAAAGGAAGTTATGCTGCCTCACCCTGTATTACTCTGGCATTGAAAGCCTCATTTACCACATAACATAACCTGCTGTGTTTGGACTTAGAAAAGGGATTGGGCTGTAGCTTGAGAAAGGGAAAAAGTGCTTCGTTTGCATACCTGTTTTATATGTCATGTGAAAATTTCTCAGGTGAAACGGGGTCATGAGTAGATAACGTTTAAGAAGCCCTGCTGTAGAAGATCAGGGTAAGAATAGGGAAAAATAGTAAGGTCCAAGTTAGCTGTCCCTAACTTTCTTTCCAGATCTTGCAAGACAGGAAGAATAAAATCAAGGAGCCACCCAAGCCACTTCGTTTCCTTCAGAAAAAAACCAAGTTAGTTGATCGTCCTCCCACTCCAACACTGGAAATGCCTTCACCAGTAAGTGTAATAGTCCTGACTCTTTGTCAGGTCTTGGCATATTTTCAGATTGGGTTGTAGCTGTTTGTCCATTTTGACCACAAACAAATGAGGATCAGAAAGGCAATAGATAGGCTGGTGACCCATATCAACCAGACAAGGCCAAAACAGCCAGAGTCAAGTTTGTTCATGTTTCAGAGTATCAGTAGAGGACTGGAGGGACCAGAAGCAAATACAGGATCAAAGTCATTTGGAAAGTCAACTGACAGTATCCATGAAGAGAGGGCATTAACTCCCTTGAAGGGATTTTTTTCCCCCAAAGGCCCAATCTGCATGTCTTCCTGAGAAGCTTACAATCTGTGGGCACAGGAAATCAACCATTGGAACTTTTGTAGACTGGCTTTGAAGCCCTGCAGCTGGGGTGTCAAACTCACTTTCATTTGGGGCCACATCAGCCTTATGGTTGCCTTCAAAGGGCCATTGAATCCATGGACAGAGAATCCATGGATACAGAGGGCCAACTATAATTTCTTTACATTGTGGTCAATGCTCTTTATTTTTCACCCAGTTTGGGTCCCCAGATGTTAATGAATGACAGTTCCATGTATTGTCAAAGGCTTTCATGGCCGGAATCACTGGGTTGTTGCAGGTTTTTTCGGGCTGTATGGCCAAGGTCTAGAGGCATTCTCCCCTGACGTTTCGCCTGCATCTATGGCAAGCATCCTCAGAGGTAGTGAGGTCTGTTGGAACTAGGAAAAAGGGTTTATATATCTGTGGAACGACCAGGGTGAGACAAAGGACTCTTGTCTGCTGGAGCTGGGTGTGAATGTTTCAACTGACCACCTTGATTAGCATACAATGGGCTGACTGTGCCTGGAGCAAACTTTTGTTGAGAGGTAATTAGATGTCCCTGCCTGCTTCCTCTCTGTTGTGTTGTTGCAATTTTAGAGTTTTTGAATACGGGTAGCCAGATTTTGTTCATTTTCATGTTTTCCTCCTTTCTGTTGAAATTGCCCACATGCTTGTGTATTTCAATGACTTCTCTGTGTAGTCTGACATGGTGGTTGTGAGAGTGGTACAGCATTTCTGTGTTGTCAAATAAAATGCTGTGTCCAGGTTGGTTCATCAGGTGCTCTGCTATGGCTGATTTCTCTGGTTGAAGTAATCTGCAGTGCCTTTCATGTTCCTTGATTCGTGTTTGGGCAATGCTGCGTTTGGTGGTCCCTATGTAGACTTGTCCACAACTGCATGGTACACACACAGTAGACTCCTGCAGAAGTGAGAGGATCCCTCTTGTCCTTTGCTGAACGTAGCATTTGCTGGATTTTCTTGGTGGGTCTGTAGATAGTTTGTTGTGTTTCCTCATCAGCTTCCCTATGCGGTCAGTGGTTCCCTTGATGTATGGCAAGAACACTTTTCCTCTGGGTGGATCTTCGTCTTTATTCTCATGGCTTGTTCTTGGTCTTGCAGCTCTTCTGATGTCTGAGGTGGAGTATCCATTGGCCTGTAGAGCCCAGTTGAGGTGGTTCAGTTCATCTTGGAGGAGGTGGGGTTCGCAGATTCTTTTTGCACGGTCTGCCAAGGCTTTAATGGTGCTTCTTTTTTGACTTGGGTGATGACAGTTCCCATCATTTTTATTATCCGCTATGCAGATTGGGGGTGATGGGAATTGCAACCCAGCAGCACTTGTGGCTCTGATGTTGGGGAAAGGTTAAAGGACATTTGAAAGTCAGGCTTCCTATCCACAAGCCTTATATCTAAATTCAGATCCCACTATCCCGATTAAACAGAGCAAGCTGCAGCCTTCCATGTTGCTGTATCCTAACTTCCCTCAGCTCTAGTAGTGATGTCTGATAATGATGTAGCTGTAGTCCAATGTCTGAAGCTATAGTCTAGTATCTGGAGGGTCACATAACATAAAGAGAGAGGAGTATTAATGCTGCCAGACCTTAGGTATTGTTATGAAGCGGTGGGCTTCAGCTGGCTAAAGGAGTGGGTCAGATGAGAAAATCAAGCTTTACTCAACCTAGAGCAATATAATGTAAGATTTGGCTGGTATGTGTATTTATGGTATGGAAAAGATTGAATTAATAAAGATTTCCATAGATATTCCATAAGAGCAAGTCTATTAGTGATTTGGAAAAGACATTTATTTGTTTGTTTGTTTGTTTGTTTGCTGTATTTATACCCTACCCTTCTCACTCAGAGGACTCAGAGAAGCTACAAAAAGGGACAGTTGAATGCCACACATACATACATACAATAAAACAAAACATATATCTTAGAACAAAAAAGTTTAAAACATCTCAATCTTAAAACCAATTAATTAAAACTACGCAATCCAGAGGCATAATCCAGGAGCCATTCCAGTTGTAAATTGCGCTATTCCATATTCACTTATTGCACTGAAAATTACTATCCAAAGGCTTGGTCCCACATCCACTTCTTCAATTTCTTTCTGAAGGCCAAGAGAGAGGAGGCTGATCTAATTTCACTGGGGAGGGAGTTCAATTTTTCAATTATCTTTAAATGTTTTTTCTCATATTCTGTATGGTATTAATTCATTTAATAAAAACTTTTTTTAAAGAAATGGAAGATCACATAACGTAACGTAACATAGCAGGCCAGATATCCCTGTTATTGGTAAATACTGTATATGTGGAGAGACTTGTGTAGAACAGCTTACACATTTTCTGAAATTTTTGATCTGCAACTCACATCCGCCTGAATTAACACAGTACACAATGACTATGAAAAAGCAAATTACCTGTGCCAATCAGAAATGCTTATCCTCCCAATGTTACAGTATAATCCAGACATGGGCAAACTTCGGCCCTCCAGCTGCTTTGAACTTCAACTCCCACAATTCTTAACAGCTTACCTTGAATGGTTTTTACTTTCCTTTCCCATAGCTTTGTGACAAGGGGGGCTATAATATAAACTAGCTTGACTGGTATATAGGTGTTAAAGTCTCAGTGCAAAATGTGAGTTGTACCATTAGGAAATCTAGATGATCTTTATACAGATGTTTTTAATGTCACTTTCCCCCAAATGTCTTCCTATTTTTTTTATAAAAAAAAAATCAGTTGACTATAACACATCCTTTTGTTGTATTTCTCAGATAGAAGAAGAGAGAGAACTTGCTGTGATTACACTACAGAGATTAATTCGCGGCAGAGCTTTCCAAAACATGGTACGCCTCTGTGTGTCTGTGTCAGTATTTCCTGTAGTGTCCAGCTATCTAATGGCAAGTCCTTGCCCAGGCATCCTGAAATACAGGAAAAATTCCTACCAGTGCCCCAGCAATATGCCAAATAAATTGAAAAGATTTCTCATTACTGAGAATGTATATTGGTTAAAGGCCCCACAAACAACCCTGGGAACACATTTTCCCCACTGTAGCTAATGTCGAAATTGAAGACCCATCTCTCTGCTTTTATACAAGTTTGCTGCTTGTTTTCTTGTTGTAAAATACAATAATTTATATGATTAATTCTTATACAGCACTGCTTCTTATGGGTCCAGACCCAAATGGGATCATGAAAATTTTGGCAACAGTTAAAGGTTTATGAACGCTAGGTCTTTACACAAATCTGTTAGTAGCAACACACAGTGTTTACAGTGGACTCTGCAGAAAATGTTTCAACTGTACTCCACCAAAGGGAAAATCAGCCTGTGTAACAAACCTTGCAAATGCTGGTTTCTTATCAGTAAATCTATATAAATAACAATGTAATGTTTGTTTGTGGGATTAACAGAACTCAAAAACCACTGGGGGAATTGACACCAAATTTGGACACGATACAACGAACAACCCAGTGTATGTCCTTCACTCAAAAAAACAACGAAAACAAAAAGCAGAAAGGACTTCTAAACTGTATGTCCACAAAGGAGAAACTGCATGTCCCATGGCCATGCCCCCTCCTCCTCGTGGGGAAACAGCCGGCCGTTAAAGCATGAGGAGCCAGGCGCGCGTGCACAGCCACACACACGAGCGAGAGTTGGCACCAGTGGAGGTGGAGGCTTGCTGCATGGAGCCCCTTCTCTTTCCCTACTATGTCAGGAGGGCGATCTCCTCCTTCTCCTCCTTTCCCTGTTGGAAGAGGAAGGGGCGGATGAGTGGCAGGGGCAGAGCCCTCAGGCAAGGAAGAAGGGGAGGAGTAGGAGGAGGAGGCGAGGAAGGTCGACAGTGCTTGAGTGAAGGACCTTCCTTCTCTCCCTCACTCCCTTCCTTTCTTTCCTCCCTCTCCTTCCTTCCTTCCTTCCTTCCTTCCTTCCTTCCTTCCTTCCTTCCTTCCTTCCTTCCTCCCTTCCTCCCTTTCTTTCTTTCTTTCTTTCCTTTTCTTCCTCCCTTCTCCTTCTTTTCCTTCTTTCCCTCTTTCCCTTCCTTCCTGTCCCTCCCTCCTTCTTCCTTTCCTTCTTTTCCTCCCTCCCTCCCTTCCTTTCCTCCTTCTTTCCCTTTCTTTATTTCCTTCCCCTTCATTTCCTTCCCTCCCTCCTTTCTTCATCCCCTCCTTCCTTTCCCTCCTTTCTTCCTTCTTTCTTCATTCTCCTTCCTTCTTTCCTTCCTGTCCCTCCTTCTTTCTTTTCCTTCCTTCCTTTCTTTCCTTCCTTCCCTCCCTTTCTCTTTTCTTTCTTCCTGTCCCTCCTTGCTTCCTTCTTCCTTTCCTTCTTTCTATGTAAGATATAAATACAATATTAAATGGGACAGTCAAGAAGTAACGAGAGAAGGAGGGAAAGAGGGAAGGAATGAAGGAGGGAAATGGAGAAGGAAAAAGGAGAGAAGGAAGGAAGGAAGGAAGGAAGGAAGGAGGAAGGAAGGAAGGAAGGAAGGAAAGAAAGGTAGAGAAGCAAGGAAGGAAGAAGGAAATAAAAAGTGAAAGGAACAAAAGATAGGGAAGGAAGGAAAGAAGGAAGGAAGGAGAGAAGGAAGGATGTAATCAAACAGCAAAGAAAAGGGAGGAAAAAAACAGGTAGAGATGGAAGAAAGAAGAGAAATAGGGAAAGAAAAGAGGAAAGAGGGAAGGGAGGAGAGAAAGAGGGAGGGAAGGTTGTCCACAGCAATGCATGGCGGGTACAGCTAGTGTATAGCAGTGCATGGCGGGTATAGCACGTGGAAGTGCTCAATAAGCATACTTTTTTAAAATAAAGAAGTTGAAAAAATATGGCGGAAGAGAACATTTGGTGTGGTTTTAGTTCTCCCTCATTGATTTCATGTGATCTTCAACCCTTACAAATAGATGTTTGAAGGGAAGGAAAAGCGATTGGAGCTGATCCGGGAGTTGCGTACCACTCATGCACTTCAGGAGGATGGACAACTGCTGAAGAAGGCTGAGAAGCAAGTCACTTTGGCATTACAACGGCAGCGGGATTTGCATGAACACAAGGTAGGTGGGTTGGGGTGGGGAAAATAGAAAGAGATCACAAGTACTTTATTTGGAGCCTGTCTTCTCTAAGAGCTTGTGCAACGGTTCTGGCCCAACCTACCTATCCGAACGTATCTCTGCCTATCAGCCCACCAGGACCCTAAGATCTTCTGGGGAGGCCCTGCTCTCTATCCCACCTGCTTCACAGGTGCGGCTGGCGGGGACGAGAGACAGGGCCTTTTCTGTGGTGGCCCCTCGGCTTTGGAACGCCCTTCCCATGGAGGTAAGATTAGCCCCCTCGCTGATGGTGTTTCGAAAAAGATTGAAGACCTGGATGTTCGAACAGGCTTTCGGTTAATCCGGTACAATGAATTGATGACTAAGGATTGGTAATATGGACGATGAAATTGGATTGTGATTTTAGTTAAGAGATGCATTGGATTATTATTGATGGGCCAATATTGTGTATTGTGTATGTTGTTTTTTATGGTTTTAAACTGAATATTGTTGTTTGTTGTACTGTTGTAAACCGCGTTGAGTCGCCAATTTAGGCTGAGAAACGGCGGTATACAAGCACAGTAATAAATAAATAAATAAATAAATAAACATAACCTGAAAGTGACAGGAGCCCTTGCCTTGCATGTATCTCAACCTACCACTTGAAAGAGGAGTCATGTCTTCTTGAAAGGAGACCTCTGTATCAGTGTTGTACAAAAGGTGCTGTTCGGGAGCCTTTTAGTTGTTGCCTTGCATCGCATCATTCACCCAGCAGCCATTCTAGAAGGTGGGCCAGAAAATAAAAACCCAAGATTCAATCCCAGTCTGTTTCAAGCGATTACATTTCCAGTGCCTTGAAAGCAGTTGTGCCTGCTTTTGAGAGGTATATTATGGTCTCAGTGCTGTAGAACCTTTTAGGAACTCATCATAGAGTAGAAGGAGACAGGACCAGTACTATTTTATTTATTTATTTATTTATTAACTTTATTTGTGCCCTGCTAACATCTCCCGAAGGACTCGGTGCGGCTTACAAAGGCCAAGGCCCTCAATAAAACAACAGCATAACAAATACAACAATAAAACTCAAAAAGCAAACCAATAAACATTAAAGCAATAATGGTAAAACACTAAAAACAATACATCATAACACATTAAAACTAGGGCCGGACCAGATGTAATGGATAAAGTTAAAAGTGCTAGGCATGACAGGTGAAATGTAAGGATTTTAGGGTAGGTGTGATGTGCAGGCAATCTTAAATCTCTAGTAAAGTGCGTTTGGGACATGATGCTGAGAGTTTCCTATTCTGGAAAGACACACTGGAACAGCCAGGTCTTCAAGCTCTTCCTAAAGACTGCCAACGTTGGGGCTTGTCTGATGTCCTTGGGAGAGAGAGTTCCAGAGTCGGGGGGCTACCACAGAGAAGGCCCTATCCCTCGTCCCCACCAAACGCGCTTGCGACGCAGGTGGGATCGTGAGCAGGGCCTCTCCAGATGAATGGAGGGATCGTGTGGGTTCATATACGGAGATGCGGTCCCAAACCATTTAGGGCTTTGTAGGTGAGCACCTGCACCTTGAATTGGGACCGGAAAATGAAGGCAGCCAGTGGAGCTCCTTAAACAGGAGGGTTGACCTCTCTCTGTAAGGAGCACCAGTTAACAACCTGGCTGCCGCCCGTTGGACCAGTTGGAATTTCCGGGCTGTTTTCAAGGGCAACCCCACGTAGAGCGCATTACAGTAATCCAATCTGGAGGGACTCTTAATTTTTTCCGTCTCATAGACTTAGCATGGGGATTTGAGCTTCAAGCGTAAGCGATGAATCCAAGAGGACACCCAAACTGTGGACCTGTGACTTCAGGGGGAGTGTAACCCCATCCAGCACAGGTTGCCACCCTATACCCCGATCCGGTTTACGATCGACCAGGAGGACCTCTGTCTTGTCGGGATTGATCTTCAGCTTGTTCATCCTCATCCAGACAGCCACAGCGGCCAGGCACTTGTCCAGCACCCGAGGAGCTTCCTTACAGTTAGGTGGAAAAGAGTAGTAGAGTTGTGCATCATCTGCATAGAGATGGCACCCAACTCCAAAACTCCGGATGACCTCTCCCAGCGGTTTCATGTAGATGTTAAAAAGCATGGGAGACAGAATAGAGCCTTGCGGGACCCCACAGGTCAAAGGCCAGGGGTCCGAGCAGGCGTCTCCCAGCTTCACCATCTGGGATCGACCTTCCAGGAAGGACTGGAGCCACGATAGAACCGTGCCCCCGAGACCCATTCCAGAGAGCCGTCCCAGAAGGATACCATGATCGATGGTATCGAAAGCCGCTGAGATGTCCAAGAGAACCAGCAGAGTCACAGTAGCTATTACAGAAACCCCATGTATTACAAGGAAGGGTATTTTTGTGACATCAGAAATAATGATTTTAGATAATTATTTAGTGCCACCTTGAGTTTGAATTCTGGGCCTGAATCCCAAGAGTAGGGATTGTTTCTTTTGAAGGAAAAACTATGTGTGTAGTATTTTAACCCTGCGTATCGTGCTGTGTGTTTTATCTTTTGTTTTAGCAATATTATACCTGGCATCGAGTTGTGTAAACATTGAAACAAATAAAAAGCACATAAGTATAGTATTGGACTGCTTTTGTGTTGCCTTTAGGTGTCTCTCATGGAAAAGCATCTGGCTCGTGTTGAGGGGAGAGCACTTGCAAACATGTTTGACTTCCTATCCAAAGAGTTAATTCGGCTACAGGAGGAGCGAAGGATCCATGCTTTTGCGATGCTAGCGGAAAGACAGCGCCGAATGAGAGAAGCAGAGGAGAGCGGAAGGCGCCAGGTGGAGGAGAGGCGCAGAAGGGAAGAGGATGAAATCTTTAAACAGGTGTGTCCTTGAACTCCACTAGCTCTGGCCACTGGGCAGTTGAGTTTGCCTTGGTCTTCACTGTTGATTGACTCAGCTGTCCGTGTTCCGCATTTTGTACTGAAAAATGCATTTCTGAAAGTGAGGAGGAGGAAGATTGGGACCCAACTTGCAAGGTTCATGTGGGAAGAGCTCATGGTGGGAAGAGCATCTGATCAGACCTGTTCACTTCTCATCCTTTTTCTCTTAGATACTCATTAAACAGAATACTTTTCTGTGTACTCAGAACATTACATTAATGGGAAACAATTGCATGCAACTGACAGTGGATCATTTGACTAAGAAGAGGACCTTCCCACATGCTTAACTGGAGATAGGCAAACACAAGACTGAGACAACTATTTCCATATAGGGCCCTTCCTTGCTATCGAGGCATTGTGCCACACTTTTTTGCAGGTGACATTGAAACCAGGGCTGCATTTAATGCAGTCTTGTGGGCAACTGCAGTAGATCTCGGAGGCAATTGTCTGGCCCAGGACTCTTCTAGGGGCATAGGGACTCCAAAAAAGGAGTAGGTGGAAGAAAGTTATCAGAAGCCCATTTCTAATTTTTAGAATCATTTCCTCTTTTATTTTCTTCGCTTTTCTGTTTCCCTGTCTTTTGGTTAAATAGTATAGAGCTACTTTCCAGAAGAGGAAATTCACACCTCTAGTGGGTTGGGAAAAAAGTAATCCAGAAAAAAGGACATTTTGCCCATTCTTGTTATAATGTCTACTTAAAAGTAAGTTCTTGTTAGTAAGGATGTGTAGTATTACAACTACGCATGTGTTACTTAACATTCATCTGACTTACTGTATATACTTAACATTCATCCGACTTACTGTATATAAACCTAGTTTTTCAGTCCTTTTTTAGGCTGAAAAAGTCTCCCCTGGCTTATACCCGAGTCAAGGTTATTAATTATTTTACTTTGTTGTTATTATTACATTTATTATTTTATTCTATTATTGTTACTGTTACATTTATTATTTTACTGTATTGTTATTATTACATTTATTATTTTACTCTATTATTATTATTTTACTCTATTATTATTGAAAGGATATGTAAGCATATTTACATTGAAGACAACAACAATTCTTTATTGATTAGTCAATTTTGACCATATCAAAACATGCAAAACATACAAGACATACACATACAGTAAAACCATATATGAATACAAGGCATCATGGCCTACTGGCCTGTCGACCCACTCCTAAATAATTGAGCAACTACAAGATAAAGAGGTTAAAAGATTAAAAATTGATTAATTCCTTAAAATAGGGTTAGGGTGGGGGGCATGGGTAGGTAAAACTAGTGGCGTGTCCATATTAAGTTTTTAAGTTTGAGTTTTGTTGATGGCAGCAAGGTCGCCTCTCTCTGCTTCCATCTTCTCACGGATGGCCAGCGCTTTTAGGGTAAAAAGGGTCAATTTTAAAATAGAGTTTTTATCTGAACCCCGAAGAAGGATGTGCAATTTCTCCTTATTCTCTGAATAAGTATGGTTCTCCAGCAGAGGCTCTAGGTAGTAAGACCGGATCCTGTTGTAGTAGGGACATTTTAAGAAAAAATGTTCTGAGTCCTCCACTTCTGCATCTACCTCACGGCAGCCACAGGTTCTCCTCGTGTAGGGGATATTCTGATGTCGTCCCAACTTGGACTTAATGTCGAGCTGCTCAAATCTAGCCCGGGTAAAACATTTTCTAATATAGAGTGGAAGTATAAAAGAGAGGTAAGGTTCCATGCCCACATTACATTTAAATTTGGCCAGGTATGGAGTGGCTCTAGCTTGCGCTATGTTCATTAGATCATTTTGTGCAGCAATGTTGAGAGCTCTTTGGTATACAATTGAGCATACATTTGCCCCAAAATTTGTTAACTCGTGGGGGGCAAAACCTAACCTACTAACTGTGTGGCCAAATCTGCTAAGCCAGGATGACCACTCTTTGTGGTTTTCTTGTTCTAGAAGGCATAGGGCTGGGAGTCTGTGTGGTTGCATTTGTCTTATTTTGTACCACCAATTGATCTGCCTCTTCAGAATTGTGGTGGAGATTGGGGGTACTCCCGTCTCTGCTCTCACTGCAGCTGACAGGGATGATCTCTCCACACCTAAGCCAATTTTCAGGTGGCGCAGTTGGAATCTCTCTACCAGTAAAGGGTCTTTCTCACCCCATATTTCAGCTCCATACAAAGCGATGGGGGACACCTTTGCCTTAAGAACCTTCAGAAAGGGGCGTACATTGAAGAAGGTTAGAATAATGGTTTAATCAGAGCTGGACAGTAGGGCTGTCCAACCACGGAAAAATTTGTTTCTAAACTCGATTCGTTTTTAGGGGGTTTTTGCATTTCGTTATTTAAAAGAATTCCGAAATTTTTCTTTTAAAAAGTTCGATATTTACGAAATTTCGGAAATTACGAAACAATTTCGAAACAATAACGAATCGATTCGTTAATGGCGGACGCGATTGCGCAATACGCTAAAAAACCCTCCAAATGGGACAGGGGGAACTTCTGAAGCTTCCCTCTCCCTCTGTTGTTGACTGTTGGTGTGATAATTTTTTTTTTATCACTGATAAAACAAACAACGACTATAAAACTTGCACCAGACATACGGAAATAATAACGAAATAATAACGAAACAATTTCGAAACAATTACGAAACAATTTCGAAACAATTACGAAACAATTTCAAAACAATTACGAAACGAATTGGAAAAATTCGTTTCGTTTTTTAGTTGCTCCTGAATGGTTCAATATCGCTTCGTTATCAAAAAAATAACGAATTAATAACGAATTACGAAATTAACGAACGAAACCGCCCAGCCCTACTGGATAGCTTATTATTATTACAGTTTTATGTAAATATTCAAAAACATTTAACCTACTGATGCCTCAATTAATGTAATTTATTGGTATCTATTTTTATTTTGAAATTTACCAGTAGCTGCTGCATTTCCCACCTTCAGTTTATACTCGAGTCAATACATTTTTCCAGTTTTTTGTGGTAAAATTAGGTGCCTCGGCTTATATTCGGGTCGGCTTATACTCGAGTATATACAGTAATTGCTTTTGTTCCTTTTGGTCTTGGCTAGGCGATGACTAAGTGATTTTCTCTAGAATAGCCTTTCTGTTCATTGTGTTGCTCTAGTCCTGCTGGAGAAGGAGGGGGAGATATTTTGAAATTTTTTTCCTCTGTTTTAAAATAGAAAAATAGTCCATTATATTTAGAAAGGGGGAAAATAAGAAATCAGCAATAATTCAAGCATCTTCCCCATAGATATAAGGTGGCATGGGCAAATCACATTGAAATTATTCAAGGGAAGATGACTAATGATTCCCCAGTAGGATCAACATAAATCAGTAAAAGCTACTAAACACAGCAACTATGAAACTATAGTAGAAGTTTCCTAAACTTTTATAAAAATTACCCAAGATCAAGTTTGAAAAAAAGACTTAGTTGCATAATACAGAAAACAGACTAAGACTTTTATGTGGAAATGGCGTAGTCCAGATGATCCATAAAAATATATGAACTCAGTTTTAACCATTTTAGAGGAAAGAGCTAGTATGGACGCTCCCATGGTATAAATGGCCAGCAATATTATAAAAAGGATTGGAACAGACGATGTTTGGGGTATTTTTTTTTTCCAGGTTGTGAAGGTACATCAGATCACAGTTGATTCCTACTTAGAAGATGTCATCTTGGACAACATGGAATCGACAGCCAATGAGCAAGCCAAAGAAGAGATTCAAAGAATGGCCATCGAAATCAACAATATTGCTTATGAAATGGAATCACGGTATGGGCTTCAGAGGAAGCAGAAGCAACAGAAAAGGAAATCTAGTGGATGGGTTGTTGTAGGTTTTTTTGGGCTATATGACCATGTTCTAGAGGCATTCTCTCCTAACGTTTCGCCTGCGTCTATGGCAAGCATCCTCAGAGGTAGTGAGGTCTGTTGGAACTAGGAAAATGGGTTTATATATCTGTGGAATGACCAGGGTGGGAGAAAGAACTCTTGTCTGTTGGAGCTAGATGTGAATGTTTCAACTGATCACCTTCATTAGCATTTGATGGCCTGGCAGTGCCTGGGGCAATCTTTTGTTGAGAGGTGATTAGATGTCCCTGATTGTTTCCTCTCTGTTTTTATTTTGTTTTGTTTTGTTTTTGCTCTTGTAATTTTAGAGTTTTTAAATACTGGTAGCCAGATTTTGTTCATTTCCATGGTTTCCTCCTTTCTAGTGGATCTTTTAGAGAAGCCACTTTACTGTATCATAATCATTCATCTGCTTGTTCCACAGAGACACTTGCAAAGTACAAAAGTTTATGTTGCATGCAGGACTGGCATGATTAAAGGCTTTTACATTAGAAGATTTAGTTATTTCCGAGAAATCACATGCAACATAGCAGGTGTTTATGGGAATGTGTTGGAAGTCTTGCTCTTTTATGGTGTTTCTCCATCTTGAAACCACTGTAGTGACTGTGTCAATGCCTCAGGTCATTTGATATCAGATACTTCCATGCCTTGCAGTCCCATCAACACATTTTGGCTCGGTGCATCCCACTTGGTCCTTTGGTATTGTCCACTTTGAGACCATCAAATTCTGGAACCTGAAAGATTCCCTTTATGTGTGAGCATTTTCCCTAAGAAGAGATTAGACAGTTGGATTGTGGGGAGAAAAAGAAAAGAGAGAAATAGGAAAAAGAAAATCATAGCAAACTTGTAGAGTGCCAGATGCAATCCCATCTCAACTGTTTTCTTTGACAGAGAAACTAATACCTAACATCATTTCCTTTAGTCAAATGCAATATTGGTATGGAGTCTTAACTCTAGTTCTATGCATCTGCTTCGTAGAATCATTGGGATGGGAACAGAAGGGGGAGAGGGAAAAAGATAGTATTTTAGGTTGTTGTAGGTTTTTTTGGGGCTATATGGCCATGTTCTAGAGGCATTTGCTCCTGACGTTTCACCTGCATCTATGGCAAGCATCCTCAGAGGTAGCAAGGTTTATTGGAACTAGGAAAGTGGGTTTATATATCTGTGGAATGACCAGGGTGGGGCAAAGTACTCTTGTCTGTTGGAGATAGCTGTGAATGTTTCAATGACTACCTTGAATAGCATTTGATGGCCTGGCAGTGCCTGAGGCAATCTTTCGTTGAGAGGTGATTAGATGTCCCTGATTGTTTCCTCTCTGGTTTTTTTGGGTTTTTTGCTCTTGTAATTTTAGAGTTTTTAAATACTGGTAGCCAGATTTTGTTCATTTTCATGGTTTCCTCCTTTCTAGTGGATCTTTTAGAGAAGCCACTTTATCATAATAATTCATCTGCTTGTTCCACAGAAACACTTGCAAAGTACAAAAGTTTATGTTGCATGCAGGACTGGCATGATTAAAGGCTTTTACATTAGAAGATTTAGTTATTTCTGAGAAATCACATGCAACATAGCAGGTGTTTATGGGAATGTGTTGGAAGTCTTGCTCTTTTATGTCGTTTCTCCATCTTGAAACCATTGTAGTGACTGTGTCAATGCCTCAGGTCATTTGATATCAGATACTTCCATGCCTTGCAGTCCCATCAACAAATTTTGGCTTGGTGCATCCCACTTGGTCCTTTGGTATTGTCCACTTTGAGACCATCAAATTCTGGAACCTGAAAGATTCCCTTTATGTGTGAGCATTTTCCCTAAGAAGAGATTAGACAGTTGGACTGTGGGGAGAAAAAGAAAAGAGAGAAATAGGAAAAAGAAAAACATAGCAAACTTGTAGAGTGCCAGATGCAATCCCATCTCAACTGTTTTCTTTGACAGAGAAACGAATACCTAACATCATTTCCTTTAGTCAAATGCAATATTGGTATGGAGTCTTAACTCTAGTTCTATGCATCTGCTTTGTAGAATCATTGGGATGGGAACAGAAGGGGGGGGGGAGGGAAAAAGATAGTATTTTAGGTTGTTGGAGGTTTTTTTGGGGCTATATGGCCATGTTCTAGAGGCATTTTCTCCTGACGTTTCGCCTGCATCTATGGCAAGCATCCTCAGAGGTAGCAAGGTTTATTGGAACTAGGAAAGTGGGTTTATATATCTGTGGAATGACCAGGGTGGGGCAAAGTACTCTTGTCTGTTGGAGCTAGCTGTGAATGTGTCAACTGACTACCTTGATTAGCATTTGATGGCCTGGCAGTGACTGGGGCAATCTTTCATTGAGAGGTGATTAGATGTGCCTGATTGTTTCCCCTCTTGTTTGCTGTTGTAATTTTAGAGTTTTTAAAATACTGGTAGCCAAATTTTGTTCATTTTCATGGTTTCTGTTGAGATTAACTTCACAATTCAGCAGCAGATAAGTTGCACAACTTCAGCGCTTTTCAGTAACTTCTTCCTGCACAGTATTTTCAGTCAACTGCTCCCACAGCCTGCAGTCACTCTGGAACCTTTTACAGACACTTGACCACATGCCCAGACATTGTCAGTTTTACCATTGTCTTTCCCCCAGTCTAGATGATATTACAAACTTACCACAGCATACAGTTATATCTTGTCTTTGCAGACAGGTTCTTTTAATTACATATAGCCTTCGATGAACATCACAGCAGAAGGAGAGATATACACTGTACATGACTTCCTTATATACAATTCTATACAATTACACATAGCAATCTCTGATTGGTTCCCAACTCATTAACTTAACTCAAACCCAAGATTGCATCATTCACAATCACCTGGACTAGGCCAGAACACATTCCCCAAATGAAGTTCTATATACAGTGAATGCATGACTCAGCATTCCCAATAGAAGCCCATTAGCAGTGCATGACTCAGCTATATTACCTTACAATACATTGTAAAACCTGACAGTTTCCTCCTTTCTGTGGAAATTGTCCACATGCTTGTAGATTTCGATGGCTTTTCTGTGTAGTCTGACATGGTGGTCTTTTAACATGCATAATTTTTTGTAGTCGAACTCACCTGCAGTCTGAAGAGATTGTGGCAGAACTGGTTTATAGCTTCCTGATCCCTGAAGTGCAGAAAACAGCCATTAAGGAGAAAGGTAAGAAATTAACACATTGAGATTCCTGTGACTGGTCTGTAATTCTGAATCTCTGGTTTCAGTGTCCTATCAGAGAATGAACATCACCGATGAACCAGATTCCAACTCCCTCACTGTAGCCTCTGGATACTGTTTTATAGGGCTACATTGACTGTGTGCAGTGTTTCCTCCCCTGAAGTTGGTCATTTGATTCCTTGTGTAAGTTGTGTGGGGTTGTGTGGATTCATCCGTTTGTTCTTTTTATAGTTTGAGATGTTGGAGAGTTGAAAAACTTCTCAGACTCTCATGACCTTTCCTACACCTTCACTGGGTGCTAGCCAATGCTGGTGTTGTCTTTTGAGCTTGTACTTCAGTGGATCCTGTTGCAGTAGGACTACAGCTTTCAGACTCTTTAACGCAAGGATCTCAAACTTCTTTTCACTGAGGGCCTTCAAATGGCTGTTGAATTAATGGAACGAGAATCCAAGGATACAGAGGATCAACTGTAGTTGTCTGTGCTCTTTAGTTTTTACCCAGTTTGTCCCACCAGACGTTATTAAATGGCAACTCCCATCATTTTGGATTATCCACCATACGGACTGGGGATAATGGGAATTACAACCCAACAGCACTTGTGGCTCTGCAGACTTCAGATTCACAAGCCTTGTATCTAAATTCAAGACTCACTATCCTGACTTGACAGAACAGACTGCAGTCTTCCAGATGTCACTGTATCCCAATTCCCATCAACTCTAGCCATGATGTGTAATGAAGAGTACCTGTCCAAACGTATCTCCTTCTACGTCCCGCTTACGAATTTAAGATCTTCTGGAGAGGCCCTGCTCTCGGCCCCGCCTTTGTCACAAACGAGACTGGCGGGGACAAGGGACAGGGCCTTCTCGGTGGTGGCCCCCTGCCTGTAGAATTCACTCCCCAGGGAAATTAGATCATCGTCATCCCTCCTCTCTTTTAGAAGGAAATTAAAAACATTGATATGGGACCAGGACTTTTGGTAATCTGGCAGACTGACAAAGAAAATAACGACAAGAGCTTTGGAACGAATTATGATAAGATGAATGGACTCACTAATTACAGAACTCGGCGAAAAATGGCCACCAGGCTGGCTTTTTTCTATTAGATTTTATTGTATTAACTTAATGTTTTAATTATTTATAACTACTGTCATTGTGTATTTTACTGTGTTGAATTGTAGGCATCGAATATGTGCCGACTGGAAGCCGCCCTGAGTCCCCCCCTAGGGGGTTGAGAAGGGCGGGGTAAAAATACCCTAAATAAACAAATAAATAAATAAATAGGAGGAATACAAGAGTTGTAATCCAGTCTGGAGGGCCACATCTAATGACATGGCAGGCTGGATTTGGCCCACGGGCTTCAAGTTTGACATGTGTTGAAAAGTTTACTTCCTTGTCTCCTAATGGCGCCCTTGGACCCAAGCTCATTTTTTACCACAAAGAAGGACATCAGTATGTTTAAAGGTGTCTACAATCAAAAGAAAAGAAAAAAGATGTCAGTGGGCGACAAATGTCAGCTAAGCAAGCTCAGATCTCTTAAAACGGAAACAGTCATTGGAGTTGGGCCTTCTTGTACTGGTAAAGTTTGTGATGACAACGATGAGTATAACACTGATATGGAAGCATACCCAATTTTTATGTTGAATCCTGCTCATTGAGTCCTATCGTTGGAAGAGACCCCAAGGGCCATCCAGTCCAACCCCCTGCCATGCAGGAAAAGTGCAATCAAAATACCCAACTGATGGTCATCCACCCTCTATTTAAAAGTCCCCTAAGGAGGAGCCTCCACCCCACTCCGAGGCAGAGAGTTCCACTGTTGAACAGGTTTGACAGTCAGGAAATTCTTTCTAATGTTCAGATGGAATCCCTTTTTCTGTCATTTGAACCCATTGCTCCAAGTCTTAATTTTTGGGGCAGCAGAAAAGAAGCCCACTCCCCCTTCCTTGTGACAGGCAAATTTGTCTCTCTGGGAGGAATTATTGCCTTCACTCTGGAGCATTGATGGATGACACTTCATTTCAGATTGTGTCCTTGGTACAAGGATACCCCAGGGAATGGCTTATTCTCTCCCACTCGGCCTCAGCACACTCCATGTTGATAAGAGGTGGGTCAGTAGTATTGCTAGTATGATGAGTCCATATCCATGTCAGTCTTGCCCACCAACAGGCCCGTAGCCAGGATTTTGATTCGGGGGGTGGGTGAGCGAGAGAGGATCTACCCTAGCAACCTTTTACCCCCATGCATATGGGATATATTGAGCATGGTGATCAGATCATGATATGAATGTACCAGTAAGGCATTATTATTATTAATAATAATAATAATAATAATAATAATAATAATAATAATAATAATAATAAACCTTTATTTGTACCCCGCTACCATCTCCCGAAGGTCTCGGTGCGGCTTATAAGAGGCCGAGCCCAAATGCAACAATAAAACAACAACAACACAATAACTCAAAAAAAAAAACCAATAGCAAAGAATAGCAATACATTAACAACATCCAATGATGCAATTAAAAATAATGGCCGGGCCAAATGTAATAATTAAAATTAAAAATGCTGGGCATGACAAGGTGGGGTGTTTGGAGGGGGATGGGCATGCAGATATCCTGGATCTCTAATAAAGTGCATTGGGACATAATGCTAGGAGTTTCCTTATTCTGGAAAGGCACACTGGAACAACCACGTTTTCAAGCTCCTCCTAAAGATTGCTAGCGACGGGACCTGCCTGATGTCCTTAGGGAGAGAGTTCTAGAGTCGAGAGGCCACCACCTAGAAGGCCCTATCCCTCATCCCCACCAGTCGCACTTGCGATGCCGGTGGGATCGTCAGCAGGGCCTCTCCAGATGAACCAAGAGATCGTGTGGATCGTACACAGAGATGCTGTCATGAAGGTAGGCGTGTCCCTAACTGTTTAGGGCTTTGTAAGTAATGGCGCCCTTGGACCTGCACCTTGAATTGGGACCGGAAAATGAAAGGCAGCCAGTGGAGCTCCTTAAACAGGAGGGTTGACCTCTCCCTGTAAGGAGCACCAGTTAACAACCTGGCCGCCCCCCGTTGGACCAATTGAAATTTCCGGGCCGTTTTCAAGGGCAGCCCCATGTAGAGTGCATTACAGTAGTCCAACCTGGAAGTGACTAAGGCGTGGACCACCCTGGCCACGCCTTAGTCACTTCCAGGTTGGACTACTGTAATGCACTCTACGTGGGGCTGCCCTTGGAAACGGCCCGGAAATTTCTGTGTCTTCTCGCGGACCACCCTGAGAATTTGGGGGGGGGGGCTGAAGTCCCTCAATCCCCCCTCCCCCTGGCTACATGCCTGCCCACCGACCTCTTTCCTCTTTGGAAGATGTTTAAAGCCTGCCCAAGCCAATAACTGAGTGTGGGTTTATGTGTATCACTGTCAGAATTGTTTCTCTTATCCCCTTGTCAAAGCAAGTTGCTATTGTTACACTCTCATGGTTAAGTACTTGCGATACTATCTGCAAGATCCAATTTACTGGAGAGGTCTGGATTTGGTCTGTATTTTATCATGAGCCTTTGGAGACCCCTCTAGTTACTACCAAATCCCCAAAGGAGCTCTTGGAAAATTATCCTTTAGTAGGGTTCAAATGATAAGGATTTGTTGAGCTTTTGATCTAGGACATTCTTTTGCAGAACCCTTTCTCTTGATAAAACTATAGGAAGCAAAGGGAATATAAGTGAGCGCAATCCTTAATTATAATTATTTTTTCAAATTTCTTCCTCTCCCATCTTTTTTGTTTTCAACAGTAAAGCTATCGCAAAGAAAGCATATTAACGCTGCCCATCAGATCATCCATGGGAATACAGAGGTGGCTGTAGGACAGTTTCTTGCAACAGCACGCCAAAATTTGCCTGGAAGCTTTTCTGAGACAGGCTTTCCAAGTGATTACTTGCTTGCAGCAACTGCCGAACAACAAGAAACCCCTGAGCTGCACGAGACAAGGCTTCCGGATGATGAAGCCCAACCTGAAGTAGAACAGGAAGGGAGTGATGAATGTGCCATGCCCCCACAGAGTTCGGAGGGAGAAGAAAAATAAGGTATGCCTAGAAACCTATCTCGAAGCATTGCTGGCCTGAGTTGTTCACAGTCCAGGTATTTATTTATCGTGTCAGGAGCAAACCAAACAGTTGTATTGCATTTTTAACAAACAAACAAACAAACCACAAAGTTTGCAAGCTTGTTAGTTGGTTAAATATCCTTTGACCAGTAACTGGCCACTTGGAGTGCCTCTGGTCCTCCCTTGTGCATGTGGCAGGGCTCAGGTTGCATTGCAGCAGGTGGTCTGTAGTTTGCTCTTCTCCACACTCACATGTCATGGATTCCACTTTGTATCCCATTTCTTAAGGTTGGCTCTGCATCTCGTGGTGCCAGAGCGCAGTCTGTTCAGCGCTTTCCAAGTCGCCCAGTTTTCTGTGTGTCTCATTTGGTATCAGCCATTGATTGGGGTTCTGGGTTTGAGCCTGCCACTTTTGGACTCTCGCTTGCTGAGGTGTTCCAGCAAGTGTCTCTGTAGATCTTATAAAACTATTTCTTGATTTAAGTCGTTGACGTGCTGGCTGATATCCAAACAGGGGATGAGCTGGAGATGTCACTGCCTTGGCTCTTTCACTATTGGTTGCTACTTCCCGGCGGATGTCAGGTGGTGCAATACTGGCTAAACATTATAATTTCTCCAGTGGTGTAGTAACAGTCCAGGTTAAACTCTAGTAAGAGTTGGAGTATCCAAATAGTCAAACAACAGTCCATAGGTCAATACAAGTAAGCTAGTTAATCCAAGAGATTCCTCTGCTTGCTCAGCTGAGGACGTGGAGAAAAGGAACTGAGGCTATATATCATCTGGGGAGTGTGGGTGGAGCTATAAGCCTTAAAGCCAAAAAGCTTTCCAGAAGATTCTGAGACTTGTTGCGTAGACGCAGGAAATTACCATATGTGCGATTTCACAGAGATTACAAAGAAGAATGCTATAACACTTTCTTCTTCTCCCCATCTGCCAGGAGTGCTTTGAATGTGATTTTCCTGCTTCTTAGAATCATAGAATCAAAGAGTTGGAAGAGACCTCATGGGCCATCCAGTCCAACCCCCTGCCAAGAAGCAGGAATATTGCATTCAAATCACCCCTGACAGATGGCCATCCAGCCTCTGCTTAAAAGCTTCCAAAGGAGCCTCCACCACACTCCAGGGCAGAGAGTTCCACTGCTGAACGGCTCTCACAGTCAGGAAGTTCTTCCTCATGTTCAGATGGAATCTCCTCTCTTGTAGTTTGAAGCCATTGTTCCGCGTCCTAGTCTTCAAGGAAGCAGAAAACAAGCTTGCTCCCTCCTCCCTGTGGCTTCCTCTCACATATTTATACATGGCTATCATATCTCTTCTCAGCCTTCTCTTCTTCAGGCTAAACATGCCCTTGGCATGTTTAGCCTTGGCAGGGTTTGGACTGGATGACCCAGGAGGCCTCGTCCAACTCTTTGATTCTATGATTCTAATGCAATATTTTTCTTGATCTGACCAGGTGAATAAAAGGGGAGGCTCAACAACATCCATGGTGAACTGATGCTTCTGTCTTGGATCCTACCTCCCCAAGACTTGCTTAGCTTTAAAGTGCTTTTAGTTGTAAGAAAGTTAAATGAAAACTGTATTTCACTAGCCTTTAGTTCAAGTTCACTTTATTACAGTCAATGATCAGCTCAAGAGAAGAAGGACACAGTCCTACACAAACACATAAGGTCTAAGATTCGCGAGATTTAAAACTTTAAAATAAGTGCATAATTGCCAGGACATCAAGACAACCCAAGAATCTAAGCCAAAAGCCATACACAGGATACATCAAAACCCAACACAATTAATGGAATTAAAAGGGAATTGGAGGGAATTGGGGTGTTCATGTGGCACAGGGAAGGGAAGTCCAGTCAAACAGAGGAAGGAGCAGCATCCATACTATAATTAAAAGTCTATAACCCCAATTTTCTGCTAGTATGAAATCTTGACTTGTACTAGCTTGTGCAAATTAGTCATTGACTGCTGGACTTTAATCACTGCTGTGCAGAACTTGGCAACATTATAGAAGAGAAGGCTGAGAGGAGATATGATAGCCATGTATAAATATGTGAGAGGAAGCCACAGGGAGGAGGGAGCAAGCTTGTTTTCTGCTTCCTTGGAGACTAGGACGCGGAACAATGGCTTCAAACTACAAGAGAGGAGATTCCATCTGAAGATGAGGAAGAACTTCCTGACTGTGAGAGCCGTTCAGCAGTGGAACTCTCTGCCCCGGAGTGTGGTGGAGGCTCCTTCTTTGGAAGCTTTTAAGCAGAGGCTGGATGGCCATTTGTCAGGGGTGATTTGAATGCAATATTCCTGCTTCTTGGCAGGGGGTTGGACTGGATGGCCCATGAGGTCTCTTCCAACTCTTTGATTCTAGGTTATAGCCAAGTTTGTATCTGAAAGCCGCAGGGAGATGTAAAATTGTCCAGAGAGGTGATTCTCAACCTTCCTAATGCTGTGACCCTTTAATACAGTTCTCCTTGTTGTAGTGACCCCCAATCATAAAATTGTTTTAGTTGCTATTTCATAACTGTCATTTTGCTACTGTTATGAATCGTAAGAGAAATATCTGATATGCAGGATGTTTTTTCCTTCACTGGACCACATTTGGCACAAATACCCAATACATCCAGATTTGAATACTGATGGGAGGCGGGGATTGATTTTGTCATTTGGGAGTTGTAGTTGCTGGGATTTATAGTTCACCTACAATCAAAGAGCATTTTGAACTTCACCGACAATGGAATTGAACCAAATTTGGCATACAGACCTCCCATGACCGACAGAAAATACCAGAAGGATTGACCTTGAGTTTTGGAGTTGTAGTTCACCTACATCCAGAGAGCACTGTGGACTCAAACAATGATAGATCTGGACCAAATTTGGCACAAATACTCAATATGTCCAAACGTGAACACTGGTGTTTATAATTTAAATCTCGGTTTTGTCATCATAAAAGAAAGCTCAGGTGAGTGAGCTTGTGTTAACAGCTGAAGAGGGACTGTGATCTGTCCATAACATCATGCCCGGCAAAGGCTCTCCCCACAACATGCACTTTTCCTTCAATGCTTTGGTATGGGAAGTGGTCTTAACACATGTAAACGATACCTGCAAGGATAAACTGCCGGCAAGAGATATTGTTTGTGCCTCCAAGCCAGAGAAACAGCCTTCCCAGAGAAATCCTCAAAAGAGCATTCAGAAGAGTAGGTTTATGCCTCATTTACTGTTGGAAAGAGACACCAGCACATGAGGTCAGGAAAAGAAAAGTATTTGCCCACTGGCTATTCTTTTCTTGCCTTTTCCAGGAAAACTTCTGCTCCCTTTCAGTTGTTTTCTGCTAGAGACCCCCATCCTTAACTTTCTTTCTCAGCTTACTTTTTTCAAAAAGCTCTTCATGTCCCTTAGTGGGAGCAACTTAAATGTGTTTCTCTAACTCTCTCACATGTTTTAGATTGGAAGGGTCGTGTTTCAAAATGGAAAGAAATGGGGGACTGCTCTGGAAACACTGGGGAGCCACCTGGAGCCTGTGCCCGACTTCAAGGAAGATACTCACAAGAAACAGCCCCCCTCTACAGCCCCTTTGGTGGTTAAAGGGGTCGTAAATATTATTTAAACTGAACCACTCCTTATAAGAAGATGTAGTACATTTCTTGTCCTTCTTTTGTATGTAGCCTGTTTGGATTGACTCAACTCTTCTTCAGGTAACAGTTTCTAAAGCCCTTGGATTTTCTTAGGTTTGTGTTGCTGGTTCCTAACAGGCTGCTGACTTTGAGGAGAAGATAATGCCATAACTGATAACTGAACCCATGTTGTCAGTTAGCCATTAGGCTGAGTGGGCATTTCTTCTGTTTTCTGTGGTGCACTGGGCACTATTACTAGGTGTCTTATCCACTGTTTGTCTAACTGTGAATGAATCAATGAATGAATGAATGAATAAATAAAGGGAAATTGCAGCAATAAAAATTCAAGTGGTCTGAAAGTTATTCTTCTCTTTACCTTAAAGTTCTGAGAATGTTAGTTTTGGCCCATCTCTCTAATCTGTCAAGATCGTTTTGAATCCTGCTCCTGTCCTCTGGAGTATTGGCTATCCCTCCCAATTTGGGGTCTTCTGCAAACTTGATGATTACGCCTTCTAGCCCTTCATCTAAGTCATTAATAAAGATGTTAAACAGGACTGGGCCCAGGACAGAACCCTGCAGATGGCACTCACTTGTCACTTCTTTCCAGGATGAAGAGGAAGCATTGGTGAGCACCCTCTGGGTTCGTCCATTTAACCAATTACTGATCCACCCTCACCGTAGTTTTGCCTAGCCCACATTGGACTAGTTTCCTTGCCAGAAGGTCATGGGGGACCTTGTCGAAGGCCTTACTGAAATCCAGGTATGCTACATCCACGGCATTCCCCGCATCTACCCAGCTTGTTACTCTATCGAAAAAAGAGATCAGATTAGTATGACTTGTTTTTGATAAATCCATGTTTACTATTAGCGATGACCGCATTTGTTTTTTAAGTGTTTGCAGACCACTTCCTTAACAATCTTTTCCAGAATCTTGCCTGGTATCGACGTGAGGCTGACCGGACGGTAATTGTTTGGGTCATCCTTTTTTCCCTTCTTGAAGATTGGGACCACATTGGCCCTCCTCCAGTCTGCTGAAACTTCTTCCGTTCTCCAAGAACTCTCAAAGATGATTGCCAATGATTCCAAAATGACTTCCGCTAGTTCCTTCAATACTCTTGGATGTAGTTGATCTGGCCCTGGGGACTTGAACTCATTTAGAGCGGCCAGGTATTCCTGGACGACTTGTTTCCCAATTTGGGGTTGGATGTCCTCTAATCCCTCATCCACTCCATCTTGCTGAGGTTGAAGATGACTTTCTTTTTGTGAGAAGACCGAGGCAAAGAAGGCATTAAGTAGTTCTGCCTTTTCCCTACCCCCTGTCAGCATTGCCTGCTTCTTGTGCATGTCTCTTTGGTGTTTTAGCACAGTTAGAAGTTCTTTGGACATCCATTCTGGCTTCTTTACACTTGTCCTATTTTTTCTCTTTGTTGGCACAGTTTGCAATTGCGCCTTGAGTAGATAGTGGGAGGATTTTTACAGCTATTAGAGATAGCTGGTGGAGGAGTGAAGAGATAGATCCAGGGTGGGACTATCTGTGCTGGTGTTTAGAATTACTTTCAGAGAAGCAGTCCTGTTAGTAAATTCTGTGGAGGGAGAGAGAAGTGTTCCTGTGTAACTAAGTCTAAACTGCTTTAAGTAACCACACGCTTTTTACGTCAATACGTTGAAACAGCTAAGCTTTATACCCAAATTGTTCCATTTCTCTTAAATAAACATCATTTTATTTTTCACAACATCTGCCTCACGTGTGCCTCCTATGGGTGAAGTCTTAAAAGCAGTTCCCTGCAGCAAGCAGGAGACTAATGGTGGCAGCATAGATTTTAAAGAACAATCTTTTAGTGTTACCTCAGAAACACAAGCCTGAGGGCTAATCCAACACACTTTTGCCTAAGATACTTCCAGTAAACCAAGGGCTTATCAGTGCTTTTAAATTGGTGGTGGCCAAAGGGTTTTCTAAAGATTTCTTGGCCAGAACAAAGTTTCAGCTTTCTTTACAGCTTTTTGTTTTTGGGCTTTTAAAACACAGAAGCCTCATTCCAATCACATTTGGTGTTCAGTGTTTGAAATTTTATTTCTCAAAATAAGCCCCCACCTTTTACACCATACAACCCAAAAAACCCACAACAACCCAGTGATTCTGGCCATGAAAGCTTTTGACAATACAATTCTTTTTGGATTAAAAAAAATCTTTTTGTTCTATATTCCACTCTATCAGTGACATCGTAAGCACCTGTGAGGCTATTTCTTTTATGGAGCTTTGCCATCCTACTGGCTTTTTTCCAGTGCAAATCTGTGTGTGATTAGATACAATACCTTTTACTTTGCTCTCTCCTATCCAAGCCTGGCAGCTGCTTATAGAATTAGGGAAAAAATGAAGAGGAGCCTCCTTTGCAATATAGGAAATTTGTTTATTGAAGCAGTAGTCACATGACCTTGCATCTAGCATTTTAGGATAGTAACAGAAGAGACTGAGAAATCACCCGGCCTGAAAAAGGAATTTTCTTTTGCGCAAACAGACATCACATTTAATACATACATTACCCAGGAACTGGAACCCAGCTTAGAGATAGCACTGTGCCAATTTGGTTGTGGAACAGCCCCACAAGACATAGATATGACAAACTCTTTACATCATCACCAAGAATCATTTACTCGGGGCTCAAATATAAAGGTGCTTTAGAAAACTTTCCAGCACATGCTGCAGGTGGGAGCAAAGTAGGGGCATCTGCTACAATCCGAGCAAAAGGGACCCTTTTCTCTCTGTCAAATTTAACGGTTTACTGGAAGACAGAAGCTGCTAAACGTAGCATTCGTAGGGACCAGGAAAATAGGTGGATTTTGTTTGTATTTTCTTATAATAATTACTCTAAAGATTCCAAACCCGCCTTTTGGTTGGGGCAAGGGTGCAATTTGAGAAAGAGGTGGGACAAGTTCAGAAGAAGGGACTTAAAGAAGGTGGTGTCCATCAAAGATTTTGAAATAAAGAGCACACACTTTTTAATTTTAAATCTCATGTCCAGGCTAACCTATTTTTATTCAATGCAAATTACAGTACCAGTTAACTATTTCTGAACCAAGTCACACAGAACAAAATGTATTTACAGAGGAGCAGAAGGGAGGAGGTAAAATAATAAAACAGTAAGCATACTTTCCACAAAAAGTTTATATTTAAAATGAAAAAGGTAATCAGTCACAGAGGCATTCAAGTAGTAATAATGTTATACATGTTTTGCTTTTTCTTTGAATCAAGACAGCTTTGCATGTGTATGCAATAGTTTGTATACAACCCACAGTCCATTATATATATATTTTTAGATTTTTGCTCTTAAGATGGAAGTGAACACGCTAGTTGTGTGTACAAGCCCAAGTGATCTATCAGCAACATAGTAATAAATGCAAGTTTTACAGGCAAGCTGGCTATTTATATATATAAATGGCTATTTATATATATAAACTGTTTTTCCCCAAAACGAAGAACAAACAACACAATGAAGGAAGATATGTATCTCGAGCTAACTCTTTAGGAACCAATTTTAAGATCCTCCTTCATTTTGCTTTTATTGCCTTATCGCAAAATGGAGCAAGAAATTAGTTCCCGTAGAAACAGTGGGTATTTAAAGGGGCTGTGATGCAAACACCGGGAATATGGAGGTCCAGGGTGAAATGCTAAACTGTGCTTTTCATCACTGGCTTTGACCCAAGTGGCTGACATTTCTAATGGATAAAAAGCTCATTGGTAATATTTCTTCAGAAGCATTACTAATCTGGGAACATTTCAAATTATCACTAATTACAGACACCCAACATTACTTGGCCTATTAATAAAATGAAGTATTTCCACGCATCAGCTAGACAATGTTAGAGGCAATCTATGATGGAAAAAAATTGTTTTGCTTTTTAAAAAAAACAAAGGTACTTTGAGATTAAGGTAATGAGTGTCTTGATTGACTTTCAGCCAAGGACACGGATATAGTATCACTGCCATCTCAGGGACATGCGTAGTTGCAATGCAGACAAAGGATAGCAATCAGGAGACCATTGGGGACTTCATTTAAAAACAAACCACAAAAAGAAAACTCTTGAGTGGACTGTCAGAAACAAAATGCTACCACTGACCTTTGTGTCACCAGAAAAAGTGCAGCCTCTGCCTTACTGGAATGAACACAAGATGGTTACAGAAAGAATGCAAACAGAACAAAAACAGCAACCTTTGGTTTGATAAAAAGTTCAACATTTTGCCATTGAAGTAAACCTCACATGGAATACACAAGGAACAATATTTTAAAAGTACAGGCTTTTGTATTGGGCACAAGAAATTAAAAGTCAGATTCAAAAGGTTATTTTTTTAATCATAAAATAACATTCGGGGTAGGATGGGGAGAAAGAGGGCAAGTGATAATCTAAAACTGCAGACTCTTGGTACCACCAATTAATCTCAAGTCAAAAGTTTTGCTTGGTATCTATATCCATAAAATACAAAAGGCGTGTGTGTGTGCGTGCGCACACATGCATATGAAGGGGGGGGGGAGGGAGGGAGAGACTGAGACTGGTTGACTGGCCCCAATGCCTTCCCGCCTCCTTCCATTACAGTTTCTTCTTATAAAGCCCAATTCTGCTTTTTGCAGGAACAAAGAAACTAAACCAAAGCTTCGAGTTGTTGTTGTTTACAAGAACTCTAGACAAAAGCACTAGGAAAAGACGAGCAAAATGTAAACCTGCCACCTAAGATGGCAGCAAGGTGGCAAATATAAAATGAAACCGGTCTCTGCTTTTGTGGGGACAGGGGGACAAATATAAACCTCTACAACGAAGCCATGGTTCGAAATAAAAATAGTTATGGATGCACTTTCTTTTTATTATGCTACTGACCATGAAATCACTGAAAGAAGGGAAGCAAAGATATTCCATGTGTGAGACATCTGTTACAAAAAGGAGGAACAAAAATAAAATTAAAAAAAATCATGGAAGCAAAGGCACTCCAAACTATATAGATATACTATACATCACTAGAGTTATTGTTACAATAATACAGGCCGGTTATCTACTGTACAGAGTTAGAACTATATGGCTTTAAAAAGCTCGTCTACATTTTGTTTGATTATTAAAACAAAATTAACTGCCCTGAATGGTAACTTTTTGCTCATTAACAGCAGTTCCTGTGACCACATATTTACATACAAAGCAATACAACTCAAAATTTCAAGAACAAATGTACAAACTTGAATTTGGTGAGGAGCTTTTGTCAGTTTATTTACAAAAAAAGGAAATGGTACTGAAACACCTGGATCTAGATCTCTATAAAATTTTATTTGCAGTCCGCCATGATCCACAAGGAAATAAAACCAACAGGATCCCAGTTTTTACACACACGCACACACAAATTATTATTTTTTTAAAAAAGAAAGCTTTTAATTCTTCTCCTGTGCTAGCTTTAAGCTAACAAAAAGTTCTGCAAATCCTTTCTAAATTCAGACTGCCCTGCTATTCTGACCACAGAACTGGATCCCCTCTCTATGCCACTGCCCTGCCTGGGACCCCTGAGTTCTGACAAAGGCCACAATCGACACGGAGAATGAACATCTACGGGCTCATTTCTTTCAGGCTTTTCATGCATCATAAGTGAGTTGACAGGAAACTGGAGTATCTGACCAAAGATGGTTTCCACAATGACGGCTGTTGAAACATTTTCAAAGCCCTCTCATGTGAACTCTCCTTGTCAATCACCTGGCATTTCAGGCAGCCAGACATCCACTCCCTCCCGGGCCAACACTGTTAATCTGGTAGGACTTGCAACAGGGCTCATCTGCCTCTACTCCAGGCCTATGCTACCTATGGATGGAAAGAGAGGAATTGAGGATGAGGTCCCAAGTCCAGGTGCCTCCGAGCGGCAGCCTTGGTATACAGCCAGCTCTTATGGGGTCACAACCGTGTTTCACAAAGACCGTGGACCAAGGAGACAAAACTTCCGCGAGCACCAAGATGGCGAAGATTAATTTGAATGAATATAAGGCTAGATAGGCACATCTCTCAAACATAAGAGGAAGCCAGTCACAAGAACCTGTTTCTGCAGTGGCAATGGCATTCCTTCTCACCACCTACCTCACTAGAGCCTTCCAAGGAGTATTGCTTTCACTTCATAAACAAGAGACTTTATTTTAACCACTATAAAATAACAACCCAGAACATAGACACCAGGAAACAGGCATTTCTGCTTCAGTCAGACCAGTTAGAATAAAAAATAAAAAGCAGCACTGTATCTATGTATATATTTATATTATATATATATATGTATATGTGCATATATATACACACACTTAGCTTTTTATAGGTCAGCAGGAGTAAGTAAACTGATTTGTCTACTTATTACGATTCTACCATTGTGACAACAGCAACTGCTGAAAATCAATAAATAAAGACTAAAAAGGAAGAGGTTGAAAAATGGTGAAGTTACATACAAATTCTAGATTTGGATTCAAAATGACCAGTAAAACAATAAGACCAAATTGCCACCTCGAATTCCTATGAAAATATTATGACCATTCACATCCTAACCCCAGGCTTTCTTTTTATGTCTTCTTCAAGGAAGAAGCCCGTACAAAACGGAAGGGGAGGCTATGGAAGTGCCTTTGCCCCAAGTTCAACCCACGTTCTGCACCCATGAGGCCTGTGTACCTCCCTCCTACTTGCCGAAGACAGACCAGGGTCTTTTTTTTTGTGCTTTGCAGATCTTTTAATCTTCAGCTCCAACAAGATTAGAGTAGGTAAATGAGGCTCAACTGTCTGTGTGTGTATATGTAGCATATATATTTACAGGATTTTCCAATGTTAGTACTGAATTTAAGATCAACATTGGACTCTTACTCTTCCAAGATTTATTATCTTCCCACAATAACGTCCCTCCCCTCCCTCATCCCCCTTTGGCAATTCAGCATATTTTAGCACCTCACCATGTTCTCCCTCCTCACCTAAAAACACAAAGACAGTAAAAGATCTCCAAGCGTATGATTTCAAGGCAAGCAACTCCTGCTAAGCTCCTGACCAAATTCAAGTTATGTACTTCACCAAAAGTCAAAATTTCACTTTAAAAAATACAAGGCTTAAAAAGGAGCTTGAGCAGAATTAGGGTTTCCCTTCTTTTGTTTTGCAAGGGCACAAGATTCCTGATTCTAAAATAACTAACAGCAATTCTTTTTTGAAATTTGAAGATTGTCATGGGAAGAAGAGACATGACTGTGTTCTATTGCTCCACTTCCCCTCTTCCCACCCCACATAGTCCCCTGCCCAAAGAGCCCGCAGAGTGAGCAAACAATGAAACTGGTTTGTATTTATTTTTACAAGGTTAAATAAGAGCAACAATAATAAAAAAATTGAACACTATAATGAACAGTTTTCCCCCTCTTTTTACATGTTCTTTCCAAATGTGACCAGTGTTGCTGAGCGAGACTCAAAATTACTGGCGATTGTTTCTGTACAGGCTGCTGCGCGTGACCAGTTCAGGTGGAGTTGGAGGCTGATGCTGAGGCTACATTATTGGTCTGAACTCGATCTCCTGCATTAGCATCTGAAAACATCACAAGGGAAAACAAAAGACACAGGTTACATACTGACAAGGTGTCCTTTGGGGGACAGGTGACTTGTTCTGCCTCTTGACCCAGCTAACACGAGTCCCTGTAATGCAGGGGTCCTCAAACTTTTTAAACAGAGGGCCAGGTCACAGTTCCTCAAACTGTTGGAGGGCCGGATTATAATTTGAAAAAAAAAAAAAGAATTATTTCCTATGCACACTTCACATATCTTATTTGTAATGCAAAAACATTTAAAAACAATATAACAAAATGAATAACAAATTTAATAAATATAAACTTATTAGTTTTTCAATGGGAAGTGTGGGCCTGCTTTTGGCTGATGAGATAGGATTGCTGTTGTTGTTGTTGTTGTTGTTGTTGTTGTGTGCTTTCAAGTCGTTTCAGACTTAGGTTGACCTTGAGCAAGGGCCGGGTAAATGACCTTGGAGGGCGTATCTGGCCCCCGGGCCTTAGTTTGAGGACCCCTGCTGTAATGTGTCCTATTGCATGGCCACAATTACAGTCTGTCTGGTAACTGCATGTGCTGCAATACCCAACTGAAAACAAGCATAGAGAGTGCACTGGGCCATTTTCCAAACTCTTTTCCAACTGATTTTTTCCTAGTTCAACACATGGAGCTGTTTGCAACCTTTGGAGCCTTAAATCACAAGAGTGAAGTCACAATGTGAAAGAAGGCTTTCATAGACCTATGTAATGTCATGGATTTGTATATAAAATTAGCGGTCCCCTGCCATGCATTGCTGTGGCCCAGTCTGGTGATCTGGAAAATAAAGTAATGATAAAGTGTTGGTTTCTAATACATGTAATTCCTTTATGCTTGTGGGTAAACAGTATTTCTTGTTGTTTCTTTGCCAGTGTTGATGTGGAGACTGTCTGGTTTGCCTACTCTGGAATAGGCAACATGTCATTGTCCTTCTTTAGGGGTACCTTTCAAATCTATAATACTGTGTGGGAATCATATATCTATGGCTGGATGGCTCTCTGTAAGGAGGGTTTTGATTACATTTTCTTGGCCTGGTGAATGGAGCTGGACTGGATGGCCTTAAGTATTTTCTGTTGGTCATGGAGGTTCTGTGTGGGAAGTTTGCCCCAATTCTGTCATTGGTGGGGTTCAGAATGTTTCTTGATTGTAGGGGAACTATAAATCCCAGTAACTACAACTCCCAAATGTCAAGGTCTATTTCCCCCAAACTCCATCTGTGTTTATATTTGGGCATATTGAGGATTCGTGCCAAGTTTGGTCCAGATCCATCATTGTTTGAGTCCACAGTATTCTCTAGATGTAGGTGAACTACAACTCCCAAACTCAAGGTCAATGCCCACCAAACCCTTCTAGTGTTTTCTGTTGGTCATGGGAGTCTTGTGTGCCAAGTTTGGTTCAATTCCATCGTTGGTGGAGTTCAGAATGCTCTTTTATTATAGGCGAACTATACATCCCAGCAACTACAACTCCCAAATGACAAAATCATAATTTTTTGAGTGATGGTCACTCCTTGTGTTTTGAGACGTTTTGTTGCCAAATTTGGTGTGATGTTGTTCATTGGTTCTTTTGTTTTTAAGGTACTCATTACGCACAGAGCATTTTAGATAGATAGATAGATAGATAGATAGATAGATAGATAGATAGATAGATAGATAATGATGCTGGATTTACAGTGTGACTTACTTAGCTATTGTGGTTACATGAATATTTGAGGAATTTTACATGAGGCACTTGGTGGCATTTGCATTTCACGTTGAGTAGTTTTAGCCTGAGAATAGCAGAATTTGAGTTATACTAAGGTTGGAGTGACAGAAAGGAGTTCAAATTGAGTGATCGGCAAGGGTCTGCTTGAGGAGACAGAGTGTGTTATACATCTCTATCTATGTATATAATTAAAGTCAAAATATGTATGTATGTACTTTTTCATGACCTGTCATACAGAGAATATGAGGCCCCAGTGGCGCAATGGGTTAAACCCTTGTGCCAGCAGGATTTCTGACTGACAGATCAACGGTTTGAATCTGAGGAGAGCGGGTTGAGCTCCCTCTGTCAGCTCCAGCTCCCCATGCAGGGACATGAGAGAAGCCTTCCATGAGGATGATAAAACATCAAAGATCTGGGCATCCCCTGGGCAGCGTCCTTGCAGATGGCCAATTCTCTCACACCAGAAGCAACTTGCAGTTTCTCAAGACGCTCCTGACATTAAAAAAATCCAGAGAGCCAGGTCATGACCACCAAATTTGGCACACAGACACCTCATGACCATCTTAAAATACTGGCGGGATTTAAAGAGGTCTTACAGAGGAGTGTACCCACATGTCCAGACAGCCAATACAGGAAGATGGGAGTTGTAGTACACCCACATCCATGAACCCCACTGATGATGGACCAGGCATGCACAACTTCAGCCCTCCAAGTGTTTTAGATTTCAGCTCCCATAATTCCTAACAGCCAGTAAACTGGCTGGGATTTCTGGGAGTTGAAATCCAAAACACCCGAGGGGCTAAAGTTTGCCCATGCCTCGTCTAGACCAAGCTTGGCATACAGACTCATCGTGACCAACTTTAAGTACTGTCAAGTTTTAGGGAGACTGAACTAGGATGATGGGAGTTAAAGTCCACTGGCATCCAGATGACAGCATGAACCCCACCGACAATGAATCTGAACCAAACTTAGCACACACACCTATCATGACCATCTTAAAATATTGGCAGGCTTTCAGGGAGATGAACAAAGGATAAGAGTTTTAATTCACCTACATCCAAAATATCTAACCTGGTCATTGACAGGTACTTAAGCTAGTGTTATATATTAAAACACACTGTTTTATGCTTAACTTATGTAAATAAAGTCTGTATACTTTTGCCCCTGGAACTGTTGTCAGTCAGATTGTTTGGTTTTAGACACTTCATGAGAGCATTTCGATTGACCCCACTCTTGTCTCCAGCAAGGGAAACAGAAGTAAATCCATACATATAAAAGAAGTTGAGATCAAGGAAAGCCCACAGCGGGAGTGTTTGCAGCGAACACTGTGAAGACCTTCAACATTAAGTCACATTGGTGGGACTGCCTGAGAGAAATCCTCACAGCAGGCGGCACTGTTGTGATTGCCTGACTGGAAAACCCCACATCTGGTAGTCCCAGGAGGTGGGGGATTACAGTGAAATCCTCAATCTGCCTGTCATTTTAAGAATTTCATTCAAGATTTTTTTTTTTTTTGTCGTTTCAGGAGCGACTTGAGAAACCGCAAGTTGCTTCTGGTGTGAGAGAATTGGCCGTCTGCAAGGACGTTGCCCAGGGGACGCCCAGATGATTTGATGTTTTATCATCCTTGTGGGAGGCTTCTCTCATGTCCCCGCATGAGGAGCTGGAGCTGACAGAAGGAGCTCATCCGCCTCTCCCTGGATTTGAACCTGTGACCTTCAGTCCTTCCCGGCACAGGGGTTTAACCCACTGCGCCACCGGGGACTCCTTCAAGATAAACTTCAGCTTTCTGATGTTTGCTCTTTCTCTAGCCATGTTTACCTTTTAGAAACCAAAATAAGTACTAAGACAGTCAGTGAAATGTCAGTACAGGCAATCTCTGGGTTTCAGACATCCAACTTACATATGACTCATAGTTAAGAACTGGGGTGAGATAACAGGAAGGGAGAAAAAATCTACTCCAGGAAGGGAAATCCACTCCTGTAAGAGTTATCATGGGAAAAAGATGTGAGCACTAAAGCTTTCTCATCGATCCTTGTTTCCACAATCCTTGTTTCAAGCCAAAATTTTAAAAGCCAGTTGTCACAGGGACAGAAATCTGACCAGGTCAAATCTGACCAGGGGCACAGACAGCAAAGGAAACATCAAAGGGTGAGAATCCTTCCCTGTGCTATCCAAAGGTAAGAATTTGGCTGGAGTTACACTTACCAAATGTACCTGTTCCGACTGACATACAAATTCAGCTTAAGAACAAAACTAAGGAAACTCTTTTTGTTTGCAACTCAGGGCTACCTAGATTGTGTCATGCAGACTTTATGAGGAAGAAACGTGTGCCACGTATCAGGCACGAAAGTAGTCTTCTTACCTGAGGCCGCTGGAGCATTTGTAGGGGTTGAAGCAGCTGCTTGATTTCGGGCATGAGCAGGTATGAGGGTTGAAGCCAAAGATGGATTACTTGACAGTTCTAGGAGTAAGTTGGAGACAGTTGTTATAACCAGCCCCTGGGGAGGCTCTGCCAGCAGATTCCTGAAGACAGTGTAGCCATGAATGAAACTAAGGCCTCTGCAAAGGTCATGATCGGTACTTTCTTGTGCACCGCTATTTTAAGTTTCAAGTCTATATGAAAGAGTATGAGTCAGACTAAAATGAGTATCACGTCAACTGGAAACAGCCCAACAACTTTACCCTGGTTGTGTCCTTTCCTTGTGTCTGAAAAAGTGTATTTCTGTGGCATAGCTGAAGATAGCACACATTACTTTTAATTTAATTTCAGATTGTACATCTTGTTATCATTATTTCACGCATGTTTTATAGTATTCCTATATTCACCACTCTGTTTAGAATGATAACTTGTTCATTCATATTGTTTATTAAATTTAGTAAATGAGGGGCATGAAATTGCAGCCTCTGTTATCTCTATTTCCTAAGACACTATTTCATTTCTGACATTTGTCCTACAGAGGGCAAATAATTCTATATATGCATTATTTCCCACTGTTTTTCACTACACGGCACCATCTGAATTTTATTTATTTATTTATTTATTTACTTTATTTGTATACCGCTGTTCTCAGCCCTTAGGCGACTCACAGCGGTTAACAACAGAACAGCAAAAATACAGTACACGGTAAAAAACAGTAACATCATAACACCTAAACAATCCTATATAATTAACAACAATAGCCATTCACTGGCGTCTCATCACTGAAAACATGATCCAGATCCGTCATCCATTGTTCCATTCCTATGTTCATTACACTCATTGCACTAACTATTCGAACACCTGCTTGAACAACCAGGTCTTCACTTTTTTGTGGAATACCAATAATGATGGAGCTAATCTAATATCTGTGAGAAGGGTGTTCCACAGCCGAGGGGCCACCACCAAGAAGGCCCTATCTCTTGCCCCCGCCAGCCGTGCCTGTGAGGCAGGCAGGATCGAGAGCAGGGCCTCCCCGGAAGATCTCAAAGTCCTGGTGGGTTCATAGGCAGAGATGCGGTCGGATAGGTATCTTGGGCCGGAACCGTTTAGGGCTTTAAAGGTCAATGCCAGCACTTTGAATCGAGCCCGGTAGCAAATCGGCAGCAAGTGGAGTTGGCACAACAGGGGGGTTGTATGCTCCCTGCGTTCCGCTCCTGTTAGAATCATGGCTGCCGAACGTTGGACTAGTTGAAGCTTCCGAGCCGTCTTCAAAGGCAACCCCACGTAGAGAGCGTTACAGTAGTCTAAACGGGATGTAACCAGAGCGTGGACTACCATGGCCAAGTCAGACTTCCCAAGGTACGCCCCCCCCCCTTTTTCCCTTTTATTACTGACTCTTTACCTTCTACCTTTACACCTCTCTTTCTATAAAGCACATGTTCCCTCTCTTTCGATGTAAATATTTAGAAAAAATGCGCAATAAAAAAAAAAAGACTCCAGCAGGTCAACAGTTTTACCAATGCTTTCTGATCTCATCATTTGAGACGATGTTGCATTTGAACCACAGAGAACTTATGGCACCGTAACTTTCAGGCTACCTTGAGTGGTGAAGTTAAAGAGGGCCGGTTTCTCTCGCCCACTCGGTAATTTGATGTTTGGGTCCCGTAATTCATCAAAGAAAGAGTGTGCACATGCTTCCAGCGGAGTCAGACGTGCAGTGGGGGTATATTCCAGCAGACGGCTACATAGCGCTATTGCTTCTGGTGGAGTGCGGGGCCGGAAGACCTACAAAAGAACAAGGGAAAAACTGTCAGTACTTTTCGATATTGCTATAGGTGATGGGTACTAAGAGTCTGAGCTCCTAAATTAAGAATTACACCCACTGTTTTTTACTAATAACACTAGAAATGAAACTTAATTAAGCTTATAAAACTGAAACAGTTATTTGCAAAAAAGTTCACTGGGTTACAGTAACATGACAAGAACAATGAGAAAAATATATACAGGGCAGAGCTGAGAAAACGTTTAGGAAGAAAAGGAAATAATCCATTCAAAATAAAACAAATATGCAATCACCCATGCAGATGGACTAGAGGAGAGAAAAGCAAAAGTGTTAAAATTTTCTGAAGACTGAAAGATTAAATCAATTTTTTCCAACTGGTTCTCTCCAGAAACACTTGAAATATCTGAGTACATCAGGTTGGGGAAGGGTGGATTAGGAGTTCAATTACATAGGGTGCTTCAAAAAGATAGACCCAATTTCAAAATTGCAACATGAACCGCCTTACCACTTGAAAGAGTGGGCAACCGAGTTTCAAATTATTACCACTACCCTCAGTTATTCACAAGATAACGATCCAGCAATATAAGTTGTTTAGTGTTTCATTCTCGCAAATCACTGAGTTTAGGGGCTGTTTGTGCACCGGGAGAGGCATCTGGTGGCCATCATGCTTTATGCTCCACACTTTCAAGTGGCAAGATGTGTGATTGCAGAGATAGTGATTTCAAATCAGGTCCATTTTTTCAAACACCCTGTATTTCAATTTGTTCAATTTATACTACATCTTTTCTTACAAGTGTTCATGACGGTTAAAAAAAATTTGGTCGCTAAGGTTACAACTAAGCACTTTTCAAACAGTAAACTAGTTTCACCCTGGCCACAGACTTTTGTTGGCTGACAATGATCAATTACCAATTTAGCTGATCTTTTAAATAGTAAATATTAAACAGAAAACAATTGATTTTTTCGCACTTTGGGGCATTTACAAATACAGTTGAAGAGTCATAATGAGTCAGCTTGTTTACTCCATGGCATTTTCTACAAGAGTAAAAATCAAATAGCAAATAGGTGACAATCCTTAAAACCTGTAATCTGTCCTCTTTACAAGTAGCCATGAACTGATTCATACAATAGCAGATTCCTTAAGCAGAATTTTTCAGTTATGCTCTTAGTATGTAATAGTGGCAAGTTTTAAATCCTGAGATTATTAATACCGTTGAACTTCATTGCTATGAAAGGATAGCATATGCTACAACCCAAATCCTCCAATGCAGGTTTAGGACCATTAAAACTCAGCAAAAGATGTATTGAATCAGTAGAAAGGGGTTGGATGTGTATGCCTTGCTGTGCATTCTTCTTATTTTTTTAATAAATGGTATTATTACGGTCACAGACCATGTAAAACTTTAAAGCATTAGAAACAAGATTTTTTTTTATAAAACTGTCAACATTAAGACTACCTAATTTAAGTATAAGTGAAAGTCCTGAAATGAGAATCAATTTAAGAATTTGATTGGACTAGGCCAACGATCATATAAACAAACTTTTCTATAGTGGCTCAATGTTCAAGAACTAGCAAAAGAAGCCAAGCTGTTGCTATAATAATAAAAGACAATACCTCCAACTGATGGAAATTTTAGTGAGACAATTTCAAAGGTATTGTTTTTCTTACTCTTAAAGAGCTGAAGGACAGGTTGCTTACCTGTAACTGTGGAGCTTGTTTCCAAAAGGCACCAAATCCATCTGAATACATTTCATAAAAATTGGAAACAACTTCTGAGGATATGCATTCTTTTGCATATCATTTTTTCCAAGCCCTGTACTGATTCAATATATTTGGATCTGTACATAACATTCTACTCCTAACCAACAATGTGGATTTGATACCTTTTGGAAACATACTTCTCAACTGGTGATCTTTGAGTGGTCACCTCTGGAACTGAACCTATGTAGATCTCTTCCTGAAACTTGAAAGCTGAACATTTTTGGCAGCCATCCCACCCTCTCCCCCTCTTAACTGATGCTCAGCATACTACTCTTTCAGTTCTGCAAGACTGACACTGCAATGCTATATTACAAAGTCTCATGTGTCTGAGAGGGGAAGACAGGTGGGGAATATGAATACAAAGGACCACTGGAATAATACGTATCAGAGATTAGCAGCCTGTCCTCTTTCCCTGTGCTCTGTGCTTCATGCTCATGGGCAATGACTGGCAAGCATATCACCTTGGGCGGAGGATGGCACATGATCTTCCATCAAAACAGAGAAGAGGACTTCTCTCCCAAATGATGCATCAGCTCTCATCTGTACATACAAACAGTAGGTTTTATGAAGGTAACCGAGTCATACTATGTCACAGCTCTGCATAAGTCTGGCATGAGAATGCCTCACAGAAATACTGATGAAGATGCCTTAGATCTTATAGTTTCATACTCCCTAACGTATCTGCTTTTTTGCCATTTGGCATGGTGGGTTGATTGTCTTAGACATTCAAAGAGATTCCCTTTCCTTGGGCCAGAGTAACAAATACATATCTGTATGATCTGAAAGAGACAGTTCTTGAAATAATAAATTCAAATGACCTCAAATACTCTAATGGAATATTTCATTGTAGGAAAAATGTTGGCAGTATGATTTCAATTATGAAAACAGAGACTACCTTTGGCCGAAATGTTGTATGCCTTAGGAATAACTTTGTCTCTATGACATCTTAATTAAAGTAGGTCTGCTCTTAATGTGCAAATTTCCCACTGTTGTGATCGTAATAAAGAAATGCCACTTTAACTGAAATGGTCAACACCTTTGCCACCATCAACTCAAATGGTAGTTAGTTCAAGAGTGTAGAATGGGGTAGGTCCTGCTGTGGCTGGGTATACATTCTGTATTCTTTTTAAAGATGAGGAAGTAATCACATTTAGAAGTCTGAGAAACGATATCATGGCTGTGTATATTTTAGGACTATCAGAAAGCAGACAACACTGCAAGCAGAACAATTTTGTGTATCAAAGTGCGTTATGTATTCTATTGTAAGAAGAACCTCATGGATGGTTTCTTTGCGTTCATTAAGACGTGCAATTCTATACACATCTTCCATTTGACTCTCTCTACTGTCAGTTTCCAGCTATCTCTGTATGGTGAACAAAACCTCCATCCCTCATTATCACCTATCTGCAGAATGTGCAATAACTTGTAAGTCATGTTGAATAGTGATAGGACCAAGATTGCCTTGATCATGAAGGTATTATCAAAATACAATTTGTATAGTCTCTTCTCATTTTGGCCAACACATTCCTATATCAATGGACTTGGAAGAAAAGAAATGTAAAAAAAAAAAGGGAGTCCATCTGAACATGAATGTATTTCCGGGTAATATCCATTCCTAGCCTGCCTGGTGCAGTGTTAGATATTAAACATGAGATTGTGATTTAAACAGAGAGAATCAGCTGTGGGTATAACACACATCTGTGAAAACTTTTCTCAAATCTGTCCAGCTGACTTCCAAGATGCTTTTGCATATCACAACATGAATTGCTACTAGTTTGTTTGGATATGCACCATTTCTACAATACCAATGTTAGGTACATCAGTACTTTCTTGTTTAAGTACCGAACAAGCACTTGTTCTTTCTTAGCAACAATGCTAATAAACTGCCAGAAGTACCAATTTGCTGATGAATAGGGTTGCCTTTTGGGGAGACTACTGACCATGCTGTGGATGCATCTGTGACAACTGTTAGGTGTGATTGTACATGACAGAATGGCATGCCAGCAGTCAACTTTTCTACATTTGAAATTGTGGCATCCTCAACAGTAATCATTTTGTTTCTTTATTGTACTCTAAACTATGTGAGAAAACATACCCAAAGGGTACTTACAAATGGCCCCTCTTCATCCTGGAGAAAAGTGACCGGTGGGGTGCCACACAGATCTGTACTGGTAATCCGTTCCCAATTCAACTAACACTAGCATTATCTACTCCACATTTTACTACATTTTACTTCTGAGAATGTCATGGAGAATCCTGTCAAAGGTTTTACTGAAATCAAAGTATGCTGGATCCACAGAATTCCCTTCATCTACCAAGCAGATGCTTATCTCTCTTGGTAGAGAGACAAGATTTATCTGGCAAGGCTTGTTTTTGAGAAAGCCATGGTGACGAATAATGAGCATGGGATTCCTTTCTACATATTGTATCTGTTTAATAAAACTCTAGAAACTTGGTTTTTATGTCAGGCTGACTAGATGGTAGTTATCTGGGTTCTCCCCCCCCCCCTTTTTTTTTTTTAAAGGTGGGAATAACATTTGCCTTCCTCCAGTCCATTGGAATGTTTTCTGTTCTCTGGGAATTCTGAAAGATGACTGCAATTAGTTTTGAAATTACTTTTGCCAGTTCTTTTAATACCCTTGGATAGAATTCACCCGGCCCTGGAAATGTGAATTCATTCAGAGTAGCCAGAGTAGTGCTGCCTCTTTCTCTATTATCTGCTACATTTCCCCTACATCCATTCTGGTTTCTATATTTCTTCCTAATTGGAACTGCTTGAAACTGGGTCTACAATACCTCACTTTTCAGAAACTCCAATTCATCCTTCCTCTTTTAGTCTTCTTGACCATGGGGTCACACTCAGATTTTCCTTAAGTTTACTGGTCAGCTTTCTTAAAGACCAGAATGTGTGTCTAACTATGCTTGACTTCCTCTTTCTGCTGTATAACATACTTCAGAAGAATATGGTGTCTCCTGTCTAAGTAAGCTGCCACTTCCACCCCATTTACCAGATCATCACTATTGATTAGGATCGGATCTAAAATAGCTAATACTCTTGTTTCCTCATCCATCGTCTAGACCAGTGGTCCCCAACCTTTGGGGCTCCAGATGTTTTAGACTTCAACTCCCAGAAATCCCAGCCAGCTTACCAGCTGTTAGAAACTGTGGGAGCTGAAGTTCAAAACACTTGGAAGCCCAAACTAGACTAATGGTTCTCAACCTGTGGGTCCCCAGATGTTT